CGATACCATAAGACGAAACAACATTAGAATAATTGGGATCCCAGAAGAAGAAGAAAGAGAGAGAGGGGCAGAAGGTATAATGGAGCAAATTATAGCAGAGAACTTCCCTAATTTGGGGAAAGAAACAGGCATGAAAATCCAGGAAGCACAGAGAACCCCTCTCAAAATCAATAAAAATAGGTCAACTCCCCGACATCTAATAGTAAAACTTACGAGTCTCAGAGACAAAGAGAAAATCCTGAAAGCAGCTCGGGAGAAGAGATATGTAACCTACAATGGTAGAAACATTAGATTGGCAACAGACCTATCCACAGAGACCTGGCAGGCCAGAAAGGACTGGCAGGATATATTCAGAGCACTAAATGAGAAAAATATGCAGCCAAGAATACTCTATCCAGCTAGGCTGTCATTGAAAATTGAAGGAGAGATAAAAAGCTTCCAGGACAAACAAAAACTAAAGGAATTTGCAAACACAAAACCAGCCCTACAGGAAATCTTGAAAGGGGTCCTCTAAGCAAAGAGAGACCCTAAAAGCAACATAGACCAGAAAGGAACACAGACAATATACGGTAACAGTCACCTTACAGGCAATACAATGGCACTAAATTCCTATCTTTCAATAGTTACCTTGAATGTAAATGGGCTAAATGCCCCAATCAAAAGACACAGGCTAACAGACTGGATTAAAAAACAAGATCCATCGATATGCTGTCTGCAAGAGACTCATTTTAGACCCAAAGACACCCCCAGATTGAAAGTGAGGGGGTGGAAAACCATTTACCATGCTAATGGACACCAAAAGAAAGCTGGGGTGACAATCCTTATATCAGACAAATTAGATTTTAAACCAAAGACTGTAATAAGAGATGAGGAAGGACACTATATCATACTTAAAGGATCTATCCAACAAGAAGATCTAACAATTGTAAATATCTATGCCCCTAACATGGGAGCAGCCAATTATATAAGGCAATTAATAACAAAAGCAAAGAAACACATCAACAACAATACAATAATAGTGGGGGACTTTAACATCCCCCTCACTGAAATGGACAGATCATCTAAGCAAAAGATCAACAAGGAAATAAAGACTTTAAATGACACACTGGACCAAATGGACTTCACAGACATATTCAGAACATTCCACCCCAAAGCAACGGAATACACATTCTTCTCTAGTGCCCATGGAACATTCTCCAGAATCGATCACATCCTAGGTCATAAATCAGGTCTCAACCGGTACCAAAAGATTGGGATCATTCCCTGCCTATTTTCAGACCACAATGCTTTGAAACTAGAACTCAATCCCAAGAGGAAAGTCGGAAAGAACTCAAATACATGGAGGCTAAAGAGCATCCTACTGAAGAATGAATGGGTCAACCAGGAAATTAAAGAAGAATTAAAAAAATACATGGAAACCAATGAAAATGAAAACACAACTGTTCAAAATCTTTGGGATGCAGCAAAGGCAGTCCTAAGAGGAAAGTATATAGCAATACAAGCCTTTCTCAAGAAACAAGAAAGGTCTCAAGTACACAACCTAACCCTACACCTAAAGGAGCTGGAGAAAGAACAGCAAATAAAGCCTAAACCCAGCAGGAGAAGAGAAATCATAAAGATCAGAGCAGAAATCAATGAAATAGAAACTAAAAGAACAGTAGAACAGATCAACGAAACTAGGAGCTGGTTCTTTGAAAGAATTAACAAGATTGATAAACCCCTGGCCAGACTTATCAAAAAGAGAAGAGAAATGACCCAAATCAACAAAATCATGAATGAAAGAGGAGAGATCACAACCAACACCAAAGAAATACAAACAATTATAAGAACATATTATGAGCAACTCTATGCCAGCAAATTAGATAACCTGGAAGAGATGGATGCATTCCTAGAGATGTATCAACTACCAAAACTGAACCAGGATGAAATAGAAAACCTGAACAGACCTATAACCACTAAGGAAATTGAAGCAGTCATCAAAAATCTCCCAAAAAACAAAAGCCCAGGGCCAGATGGCTTCCCAGGGGAATTCTACCAAACATTTCAAGAAGAATTAATACCTATTCTTCTGAAACTGTTCCAAAAAATCGAAACGGAAGGAAAACTTCCAAACTCATTTTATGAGGCCAGCATTACCTTGATCCCCAAACCAGACAAAGACCCCATCAAAAAGGAGAATTACAGACCAATATCCCTGATGAACATGGATGCAAAAATTCTCACCAAATTACTAGCCAATAGGATCCAACAGTACATTAAAAGGATTATTCACCATGACCAAGTGGGATTTATCCCTGGGCTGCAAGGTTGGTTCAACATCCGCAAATCAATCAATGTGATACAGTACATTAACAAAGGAAAGAACAAGAATCATATGATCCTCTCAATAGATGCAGAAAAAGCTTTTGACAAAGTACAGCATCCTTTCTTGATCAAAACTCTTCAGAGTATAGGGATAGAGGGTACATACCTCAATATCATAAAAGCCATCTATGAAAAACCTACAGCAAATATTATTCTCAATGGGGAAAAACTGAGAGCTTTCCCCCTAAGGTCAGGAACGCGGCAGGGATGTCCACTATCACCACTGCTATTCAACATAGTATTGGAAGTCCTAGCCACAGCAATCAGACAACAAAAAGAAATCAAAGGCATCCAAATTGGCAAAGAAGAAGTCAAACTCTCACTCTTTGCAGATGATATGATACTTTATGTGGAAAACCCAAAAGACTCCACCCCAAAACTGCTAGAACTCATACAGGAATTCAGTAACGTGGCAGGATATAAAATCAATGCACAGAAGTCAGTGGCATTCCTATACACCAACAACAAGACAGAAGAAAGAGAAATTAAGGAGTCGATCCCATTTACAATTGCACCCAAAACCATAAGATACCTAGGAATAAATCTAACCAAAGAGACAAAGGATCTTTACTCAGAAAACTATAAAATACTCATGAAAGAAATTGAGGAAGACACAAAGAAATGGAAAAACGTTCCATGCTCATGGATTGGAAGAACAAATATTGTGAAGATGTCAATGCTACCTAGAGCAATCTACACATTCAATGCAATCCCCATCAAAATACCATCCACTTTTTTCAAAGAAATGGAACAAATAATCCTAAAATTTGTATGGAACCAGAAAAGACCCCGCATAGCCAGAGGAATATTGAAAAAGAAAAGCAAAGCCGGTGGCATCACAATTCCGGACTTCAAGCTCTATTACAAAGCTGTCATCATCAAGACAGCATGGTACTGGCACAAAAACAGACACATAGATCAATGGAACAGAATAGAGAGCCCAGAAATGGACCCTCAACTCTATGGTCAACTAATCTTCGACAAAGCAGGAAAGAATGTCCAATGGAACAAAGACAGTCTCTTCAACAAATGGTGTTGGGAAAATTGGATAGACACATGCAGAAGAATGAAACTGGACCACTTCCTTACACCACACACAAAAATAGACTCCAAATGGCTGAAAGACCTCAATGTGAGACAGGAGTCCATCAAAATCCTAAAGGAGAACACAGGCAACAACCTCTTCGACCTCAGCCGAAGCAACTTCTTCCTAGAAACATCGCCAAAGGCAAGGGAAGCAAGGGCAAAAATGAACTATTGGGACTTCATCAAGATAAAAAGCTTTTGCAAAGCAAAGGAAACAGTTAAGAAAACCAAAAGACAACCGACAGAATGGGAGAAGATATTTGCAAATGACATATCAGATAAAGGGCTAGTATCCAAAATCTATAAAGAACTCATCAAACTCAACACCCAAAGAACAAAGAATCCAATCAAGAAATGGGCAGAAGACATGAACAGACATTTTTCCAAAGAAGACATCCAAATGGCCAACAGACACATGAAAAAGTGCTCAATATCGCTCGGCATCAGGGAAATCCAAATCAAAACCTCAATGAGGTATCACCTCACACCAGTCAGAATGGCTAAAATTAACAAGTCAGGAAACGACAGATGTTGGCGGGGATGCGGAGAAAGGGGAACCCTCCTACCCTGTTGGTGGGAATGCAAACTGGTGCAGCCACTCTGGAAAACTGTATGGAGGTTCCTCAAAAAGTTGAAAATAGAGCTACCATATGATCCAGCAATTGCACTACTGGGTATTTACCCCAAAGATACAAAAGTAGGGATCCGAAGGGGTACGTGCAACCCGATGTTTATAGCAGCAATGTCCACAATAGCCAAACTGTGGAAAGAGCCAAGATGTCCATCGACAGATGAATGGATAAAGAAGATGTGGTATATATATACAATGGAATATTATGCAGCCATCAAAAGGAATGAGATATTGCCATTTGCAACAACGTGGATGGAACTGGAGGGTATTATGTTGAGTGAAATAAGTCAAACAGAGAAAGACATGTATCATATGATCTCACTGATATGAGGAATTCTTAATCGCAGGAAACAAACTGAGTGTTGTTGGAGTGGGGGGTGGGGTGGGAGGGATGGGGTGACTGGGTGATAGACACTGGGGAGTGTATGTGCTCTGGTAAGCGCTGTGAATTGTGCAAGACTGTTGAATCTCAGATCTGTACCTCTGAAACAAATAATGCAATATATGTTAAGAAAAAAAAAAAAGAAGAAGAAGAAGAAGAAGGTAGCAGGAGGGGAAGAATGAAGCGGGGGAAATCGGAGGGGTAGACGAACCATGAGAGACGATGGACTCTGAAAAACAAACAGGGTTCTAGAGGGGAGGGGGGTGGGAGGATGGGTTAGCCTGGTGGTGGGTATTTAGGAGGGCACATTCTGCATGGAGCACTGGGTGTTGTGCACAAACAATGAATCATGGAACACTTCATCTAAAACTAATGTTGTAATGTAAGGGGATTAACATAAGAATAAAAAAATTAAAAAAAAAAAAAAAAGAAAATGAAAATTTTATTAAATATTAAAAAAATAAACCATATATAACTGAAAAAAAAAAAAAAATAGATATTCATTAAATGATACTGAGTGGAGAAACAAATGATCACCTTGTGTTGCCATTCAGTAGCTTCCTCTTCCTTCTTCTTCTTGGCTTCTTCTAGAAGTGCAATCTTGGCAGTGAATTCAGCAAGTTCTGCTGCCTAAAAGAAAGAATATAATTACCAATACTAAAAAAAATTTTCAAAAATATTCTGTCAACAAAGCTTTAATGTACATGTTTGGGCTGTTTTATATGACTCTCTTAGTCTTTCATTTTTAAGAAGGTAGCATTTAAGATCATAAATATTTATAGTAGGTCTAATGAACTAGTAAGAAGACAAAATGAAAGCAGTTTTATTATAGATAAGCAGTTCTTCCTGTTTCAGTAGCAGGAACTTAAAATGTGGAACTCAGGCGCTATTTTTTTAACTTTAATCAATAAAGTACTTGCTAAATCCTACAAAGGAAAAAAAACTGCATTTTATATAATGCTTTATAGTTTAAAAAGTATGCTGTCAAATAATCTAACTGGATTCCCCAACAATCCTATTTGGTGCCTTTATTCCTTTTTTCAAAGGGAAGGACCTGGGGCTCAGAAAGACCCAAGGACACATATCAAGTAAATGTCTGAACCCATATTTAATTCCAGGATCTTTTAAATATCATGCCTACTCAATATCTGCAAGTCCACTAAACAAACACCCAATAAATTATGGCCTACATTTATCTTTTAAGAAGGAATTAGAAGATCTTGTCAATTTATCTGAAGTAAAATACACTAGTGGCTAATGCAAAGTTTAAGTGAATCAGAAATCTTCTGTTAGCAATAGACTCCACTGATATTTTATTATTTTTAGGTGTTTTTTTTTTTTTTAGGCAGAAATAAAATTTTTAGGTTTATTTCCACACTTTGTTATTAGATTACTTGTATCTTTGGTTTGCTTTCCAGAAGATCTAATATAGTTTTACAAGGTTTGCTTCATTCTTTTATCTAAATTTTTCTTCTTCTCTGAAACAGAACTAAGACAGGTTCCTGACCAGTTGTTCCTGATTCTTCATCTGGTCGGCAGCTTGTTTTGCGATAGCAGACTTGGCTTCTTCAGCAGCTCGACGTTCCTTTTCAAGCCTTTCTGCTTCTTCCTTTGCTCGCTTTCGTTCCTGGTCCAGTTCCAGAGCTTTTCGAGTCTGTTCTTCTAGTTCTGTCAAATATATGCACACCACCCCCAAACAACAGTTAATTCTAATTATTCTCATTATCAAGAGAAGTCAAAATGGTAACAAAGAATCTAATCTAAAATTAGCATATCTGCAAATGAACATATACTTTGTTTTTAACTTGGCAAAAGCCTAATAAATATTCTTAAGTACTACACAATTAAAAAACTTGAAGAAATGAAAATTCTTTGTGATTCAACTTACGTCATAAAGCTAGAAGTACATCTTTAGTTTTAAAAATATACTATCTCCAAAGTTTTGACCTAAAGAACCTGCCATCTGTTTCAAAACTCTATAAAACAATACACTTCAAAACTTACATAACGTTTCACTTAAACTAAATATCAGATAAGTAAACCCAAGACATTAAGATTGAAAACAATACGGAGTCAAAACAGGAATTTTGATGCGAATCATATGAATTATGAACTAAATTCTGAACTAAAACTTTTGAGTTATTGGTACATAAGCATTCTTCAGGCATGAAGATAAGTAAATATTTGGAGATGAATGACATCAATTTTAATCTTTAAGTGTACAGATCATAAAGTTGTTCTCTTATTTGGTGAGTTGAATGAGAAAGGAAAATATCAGCACAAAGCCAAAAATCTTTAAATAAGCTTAAAAGTACAAATTTTAAACATTAGTCTGACAACTCTTGCTTAAAAACAAGGATATTTTGTGACAGAAGACATAAGAATGTCACCTATTAAGAGAGTATAATGTCCTACAAAGAATGATTCTCCCTTTCTGTATACTCCAAAAAGGAGGAAAAACTAAAAATCTTTATGTCATGAGGTTTGAAAGCTAACTGTAACATACACACTTCTTTCCACTCTTAATTGTGTTGTTCTTGGTCAGAATTAATTTAGTTAACTGCAGTTAAGACTTGTGAGTCTTGGAGAGGGGTAGGAAGAAAACTGACTCTGGTTAAATTTTAAATTCTTGATAAAATAATGTAAAAATTGTATGTGGCTATCTGGCTATAAAGATGAAATGTATGTAACACTGGATATTGCCACACCTAAACACTATTCATTTTAGAATCTGACTTCTAAAATTGGGACATCAAGCTAACTTATCAAACTCTTCTTCCCAACTGGTTGATTAATATATAAAATAAAGCACACAAAACTCATGGCTGTATCATTCATCTAAACAAGCATACAAATAAAAAAAATAAAATAAAAACACTGCTTCTTCTCTCATAATAAAAATTCCTTTTGTGCTATGAAATAAGAAAGAGGAGCAAGACGGCGGAGGAGTAGGAGACCTAAATTTCTTAGGGTCCCAGGAATTCAGCCAGGTAGGGATCAAAACATTCTGAACACCTACGAACTCAACAGGAGATCGAAGAAAAGAAGAGCAACAACTCCCTGAACAGAAAAGCGACCACTTTCTGGAAGGTAGGACGTGTGGAGAAGTGAATCCGAGGTGATATTCAGGAGGATAGACGGCGGGGGAGGGGCCTCCGTCTGCCACTTCTGGCAAGTGATAGAACCGTGGAGCACAAAATCGGAACTTTTAAAAGTCTGCTCCGCTGAGGGACGTCACTCTGGTGGCTAAGCAGGGGGTGGAACCCTCCGGGACAGTGTGGTCTCAGGACCCTCGGGGTCACAGGAAGACCGGGGGTGCCTGAGTGCGGCAGAGCTCCCAGGTATCGGAGCAGGGAAGCTGGCTGCAGAGGCGGAGCCCAGGCGCGGGCTCTCAGCTCGGGGTGGCCATAAACCGTGATCCGCGGCACAGTCGGGCCCCTGCTCCTCCGGCAGGGACCCAACAAGCGGCAGATCCGGGGAGACTCCCCTTCCTCCCCCAGGAGGAGCACAGGAGGGATCTGCTGGGTTTGGAGACTCCACCCGGGGTCGGGTGCCGGAGATAGAAACGCGCGGTCACAGGCCGGGTGAGCACAGAGTGCGGCCGGAGACCGGGGAGACGGGAGTGACTGACGGCTTTTCTCTGGGGGCTGAGGAGCGGGGCCCCAAGTTCTCGGCTCCTCCAGGGCGGAGATCGGGAGGCCACCATTCTCACTCTCGTCCTCCAAAGCCGAACGGAAAGCTTGCAGGGAACAAAAAGCTCCCGAGAGCAAACCCGAGCAGATTACTTAGCCCGGAGGGGGCAAGGGCGGGGCAATTCCGTCTCCGGCAAAGACATTTGGGAACCACGGCAACAGGCCCCTCCCCCAGAAGATCAGCGAGAAAAGCCAGCCAAGACCAACTTTACCCATTGATGAGAATGGCGGAACTCCAGCGCTAGGGGAATACTGCACATGGAATCCATGGCTTTTTCCCCATGATTCTTTAGTCTTTCAAAGTTAATTTTTTAATTTTTTTTCGTTTTTCTCTTGAATTTTTCTTTTTCCCTTTTTCATGAACATCTTATCAATCCCTTTTGAAAAAATCTTTTTTATTTTTCATTTTTAGAGTCATATTCTATCCCTTCATAGTAGTTAACCTTATTTTTGGTATACATATAAGTTGTTCTCTCTTTAAAATTTTGGGATACAGTTTCTTCTAACAGACCAAAATATACCCTAAATCTCTAGTGTATGGCTTTGTTCTACTCTCGTGCCTGATCACATTTTTTTTTTTCAATTTCGCTTCTTCCTTTTTTCAACCAACTTATCAATTCCTTTTATAAAATGTTTTATAATTTTCGTCTTTACAGTCATATTCCATCCCTTCATCATATTTACCCTTATTTTTGTACATATATAAGCTTTTCTTTCTTTAAAATTTTGGGAGGCAGTTTCTTCTAACAGACCAAAATATGCCCAAAATCTAGTGTGTGGCACTGATCACTGCACCAGCCTGATCATATTTGATCATATTCTTTTTTTTTAAATCTTTTTCTTTTTTTCTTTCTTTCCCTTTCTTTTCCTCCAGTTTCAGGTCTCTTCTGATTTGTTTATATTTTTCTGTGGTCGTCGTTACCCTGTTAGCATTTGTTCTCTCATTCATCTATTCTCCTCTGGACAAAATGACAAGACAGAAAAAATCACCTCAAAAAAAAGAACGAGAGGCAATACCAACTGCCAGGGACCTAATCAGTACGGACATTAGTAAGATGTCGGAACTAGAGTTCAGAATGACAATTATAAAGATGTATCAGAGAAACCCTTTCTGGAGAAATAAAAGAACTAAAATCTAACCAAGTCAAAATCAAAAAGGCTATTAATGAAGTGCAATAAAAAATGGAGGCTCTAACTGCTAGGATAAATGAGGCAGAAGAGAGAATTAGTGATAAAGAAAACCAAATGATGGAGAATAAAGAAGCTGAGAAAAAGAGAGATAAACAACTACTGGATCACAAGGGCAGAATTTGAGAGATAAGTGATACCATAAAATGAAACAATATTAGAATAATTGGGAACCCAGAAGAAGAAAGAGGGGGGGGAGCAGAAGGTATATTGGAGCAAATTATAGCAGAGAACTTCTCTTATCTGGGGAAGGAAACAGGCATCAAAATCCAGGAGGTACAGAGAACCTCCCTCAAAATCAATAAAAATAGGTCAACACCCCAGCATCTAACAGTAAAACTTACGAGTCTCAGAGACAAAGAGAAAATCCTGAAAGCAGCTCGGGACAAGAGATCTGTAACCTACAATGGTAGAAACATTAGATTGGCAACAGACCTATCCACAGAGACCTGGCAGGCCAGAAAGGACTGGCAGGATATAGTCAGAGCACTAAATGAGAAAAATATGCAGCCAAGAATACTCTATCCAGCTAGGCTGTCACTGAAAATAGAAGGAGAGGAAAAAAGCTTCCAGGACAAACAAAAACTAAAGGAATTTGCAAACACGAAACCAACCCTACAAGAAATATTGAAAGGGGTCCTCTAAGCAAAGAGAGAGCCTAAAAGCAACAAAGACCAGAAAGGAACAGGGACAATATACAGTAACAGTCACCTTACAGGCAATACAATGGCACTAAATTCATATCTTTCATTAGTTACCCTGAATGTAAATGGGCTAAATGCCCCAATCAAAACACACAGGCTATCAGATTGGATAAAAAAATAAGACCCATCAATAGGCTGTCTACAAGAGACTCATTTTAGACCCAAAGACACCTCCAGATTGAAAGTGAGGGGGTGGAAAACCATTTACCATGCTAATGGACACCAAAAGAAAGCTGGGGTGGCAATCCTCATATCAGACAAATTAGATTTTAAACCAAAGACTATAATAAGAGATGAGGAAGGACACTATATCCGACTTAAAGGGTCTACCCAACAAGATCTAACAATTGTAAATATCTATGCCCCTAACATGGGAGCAGCCAATTATATAAGCCAATTAATAACAAAAGCAAAGAAACACATCAACAACAATACAATAATAGTAGGGGACTTTAACACCCCCCTCAATGAAATGGACAGATCGTCTAAGCAAAAGATCAACAAGGAAATTAAGACTTTATAAATGACACACTGGAACAAATGGACTTCACAGATATATTCAGAAAATTCCATCCCAAAGCAACAGAATACCCATTCTTCTCTAGTGTCCATGGAACATTATCCAGAATAGATCACATCACAGGTCACAAATCAGGTCTCAACTGGTACCAAAAGACTGGGATTATTCCCTGCGTATTTTCAGACCACAGTGCTTTGAAACTAGAACTCAATCACAAGAGGAAAGTCGGAAAGAACTCAAATACATGGAGGTTAACTAAAAAATGAATGGGTCAACCAGGAAATTAAAGAAGAATTAAAAAAATTCATGGAAACAAATGAAAACTAAAACACAACTGTTCAAAATCTTTGGGATGCACCAAAGGCAGTCCTAAGAGAAAAGTATATAGCAATACAAGCCTTTCTCAGGAAACAAGAAAGGTCTCAAATACACAGCCTAACCCTACACCTAAAGAGCTGGAGAAAGAACAGCAAATAAAACCTAAACCCAGCAGGAGAAGAGAAATAATAAAGATCAGAGCAGAAATCAATGAAACAGAAAGCAAATGAACAGTAGAACAGATCAATGAAACTAGGAGATGGTTCTTTGAAAGAATTAATAAGATTGATAAACCCCTGGCCAGACTTAGCAAAAAGAAAAGAGAAAGGACCCAAATAAGTAAAATCATGAATGAAAGAGGAGAGATCACAAGCAACACCAAAGAAATACAAACAATTATAAGAACATATTATGAGCAACTCTATGCCAGCAAATTAGATAATCTGCAAGAAATGGATGCATTCCTAGAGATGTATCAACTACCAAAACCGAACCAGGAAGAAATAGAAAACCTGAACAGACGTATCACCACTAAGGAAATTGAAGCAGTCATCAAAAATCTCCCAAAAAAACAAAAGCCCAGGGCCAGACGGCTTCCCAGGGGAATTCTACCAAACATTTCAAGAAGATTTAATACCTATTATCCTGAAACTGTTCCAAAAATAGAAATGGAAAGAAAACTTCCAAACTCGTTCTATGAGGCCACCATTACCTTGATCCCCAAACGAGACAAAGACCCCATCAAAAAGGAGAGTTACAGACCAATATCCCTGATGAACATGGATGCAAAAATTCTCACCAAAATACTAGCCAATAGGATCCAACAGTACATTAAAAGGATTATTCACCACGACCAAGTGGGATTTATTCCTGGGTTGCAAGTTTGGTTCAGAATACACAAATCAATCAATGTGATATAATACATTAATAAAAGAAAGAACAAGAACCATATGATCCTCTCAATAGATGCATAAAAAGCATTAGACAAAGTACAGCATCCTTTCTTGAATCAAAACTTTTCAGAGTATAGGGATAGAGGGTACATACCTCAATATCATAAAAGCCATCTATGAAAAACCTACAATACAGCAAATATCATTCTCAATGGGGAAAAACTGAGAGCTTTCCCCCTAAGGTCAGGAACAAGGCAGGGATGTCCACTATCACCACTGCTATTCAACATAGTACTAGAAGTCCCAGCCACACCAATCAGAAAACAAAAAGAAATAAAAGGCATCCAAATCAGCAGAGAGGAAGTCAAACTCTCACTCTTTGCAGACGATATGATACTTTATGTGGAAAACCCAAAAGACTCCACCCCAAAACTGCTAGAACTCATACAGGAATTCAGTAAAGTGGCAGGATATAAAATCAATGCACAGAAATCAGTGGCATTCCTACACACCAACAACAAGACAGAAGAAAGAGAAATTAAGGAGTCGATCCCATTTACAATTGCACCCAAATCCATAAGATACCTAGGAATAAATCTAACCAAAGAGGCAAAGAATCTGTACTCAGAAAACTATAAAATACTCATGAAAGAAATTTAGGAAGACACAAAGAAATGGAAAAACGTTCCATGCTCATGGATTGGAAGAACAAATATTGTGAAGATGTCAATGCTACCTAGAGCAATCGACACATTTAATGCAATCCCTATCAAAATACCATCCACTTTTTTCAAAGAAATGGAACAAATAACCCTAAAATTTGTATGGAACCAGAAAAGACCCCGAATAGCCAGAGGAATCTTGAAAAAGAAAAGCAAAGCTGGTGGCATCACAATTCCAGACTTCCAGCTCTATTACAAAGCTGTCACCATCAAGACAGTATGGTACTGTCACAAAAACAGACACATAGATCAATGGAACAGAATAGAGAGCCCACAAATGGACCCTCAACTCTATGATCAACTAATCTTTGACAAAGCAGGAAAGAATGTCCAATGGAGAAGACAGTCTCTTCAACAAACAGTGTTGGGAAAATTGGACAGCCACATGCAGAAGAATGAAACTGGACCCTTTCCTTACACCACACACAAAAATAGACTCCAAATGGATGAAAGACCTAAATGTGAGGCAGGAGTCCATCAAAATCCTAAAGGAGAACACAGGCAGCAACCTCTTCGACGTCAGCAACAGCAACTTCTTCCTAGAAATATTGCCAAAGGCAAGGGAAGCAAGGGCAAAAATGAACTCTTGGGACTTCATCAAGATAAAAAGCTTTTGCACAGCAAAAGAAACAGTCAACGAAACCAAAAGACAACCGACAGAATAGAAGATATTTGTGAATGACATATTAGATAAAGGGCTAGTATCCAAAATCTATAAAGAACTTATCAAACTCAACACCCAAAGAACAAATGATCCAATCAAGAAATGGGCAGAAGACATTAACAAACATTTTTCCAAAGATGACATCCAAATGGCCTAAAATGCAGCACAAAGTAGGCACTTCATAAAGGTCTACTTTAGGGGCGCCTGGGTGGCTCAGTCGGTTAAGCGTCTGCCTTCGGGTCCTGGGATCGAGTCCCACATCCAGCTCCTTGCTCGGCGGGGAGCCTGCTTCTCCCTCTCCCTCTGCTGCTCCCCCTGCCTGTGCTCTCCTGCCCTCTCTCTCTGTCAAATAAGTAAATAAAATCTTTAATAAAAAAAAAAAAAGAAAAAAAGAAAGGTCTACTTTAATTGACGAAAAAGGCACCTGGAGTAGTAGAAACAGTATGAAGTTGGAATTCAGAAAATAAGTTCTGCCCTTGTGTTACGGTCTGCGAGCAAGTCTGTTTAATACCTCTGACCACTAAACTAAATAGTTTCCTAGGTCTTTTCTAGCTTTGAAAAGTGAGGCTTCTAATGAGTCAGAATAAAACATAGGTTTTTTTTTTTTTTCTATTTCTTCTCTTAGAAATATTATTTCCAATCCTCTTGGAATTAGAATGATCAACCAATTTGCGGGTTTATAGCAATCTCAGTGACTTCCTCTTTTAGTCACCCATTTGCAAATTATTCTCCCCACTGCTCAAGAGCATCTCCCCACCATGACAGCCAGATGTAAGGAATTAGAATAACCCTTAAATAAGGTAATTATTTAATAAACTCTAAAGTTATTACTCTACTTAGAATAACAAAACTAATGGCTGCTTCTACTAGTTGTCAGGAAAGCAGGTATTAATTTTAGTTTTACAAATAGTATATATTTCATATTACATCCCCCACCAACTTCTGCTTAGGAAGGAAAAAAACATCTTATTTTGCTCAATTCCTTTTTTCTTCTGTTCTTCCTACTCTTTGTTGTTTGAAAGTAGCATATCCTAGAGTTATTTACTATAAACCACTCTCGAAATCCAACATATCCTTTCTATACACTGCAGCATTTTGGTTACATTCTGCATAGAAAGTAGGTTCTTACCAAGGTGTTACCAAAAACCAACCCACTTCTATGTGTTATGTATTTTTTTAATATACTAAAATAAAATCTAGAGATTGAGTTCCAAAAGAGTTTATTATAGTCAGAATAGCTTAAAATGCCTTAAAGTATTCAGATGCCTTAAAGTACTTAAATATCCAAAAGGCATCAAATAGAATGGCTTTTGTTTAAATGCTAGCAAGTATTGAAAATGTGTATTTACGGAACCCTGACGTAAGAGGAATAAATTTTTATATTCATTTCCGACCATAAGTAAGGCTGCACATGAAAACAGCTGTGTGTTTAAGCAAATGAAAGAGAAACTAGCACATGAGTGTTGGCGTGTGCCTCAGTTAAACATGTTTATGATGTGATCCCATTACGTATTACTGTGACAAATAAGTGTAATTATCCTACAAGACAAACGAGATTTCCCAGCAGTGAGGAAATATCAGACAAAGAGGAACAACGGTGAACGCCACGTCAAAAGGAAACCGCTACCTTTCTGGGCTTTCACCGTCTGCTCTTCAATTTGCCGCAGCCGCTCCATCAGCTCCTCCTTTTCCCGCTCTATCCTTTCCTTCTCCTTTTCTGCTATCTCCCTCTTCTTCTTTTCATTCTCTAGTTGTGCCCTGAAGAGGAATTAGAATTGTTCTGTTACAAATGGATACATAGAAATATTTACGCGAAATCCAAGTACTGTGAGTCCACTAAGAAGAAACTAAGTATAAATCTTTTAAGAATCTTCATTATATTCAGCTGGGTTTCAAAAAAAAAAAACCACACAACCCATCCAGTTAAAAATATAGGACTGCCCTGTTACATGCACGTACACTAGAATACAATGCATTTCTTTTTGTGAGGTCATGGAAAATGTAGTCCAGGATTATTTCAAAAGTTAAAAGGGGTGCTTGGGAGGATCAGCTGGTTTGGCATCTGCCTTCGGCTCAGGTCATGATCCCATGGTTCTGGGATGGAGTCCCGCATTGGGCTCCCTGCTCAGAGTCGAGTCTGCTTTTCCCTCTCCTTCTGCCCCTCCCCCAAGTTATGCTCTCTCTCAAAATAAATAAAATCTTAAAAAAAAAAAACCAGAAACAAAAAAGATATTAAAAACTTAGACATTTTGGAAAGATTTTCAAGGGACAAATTTATAAAACAGCTAGAAAGTAAAACTGTCAAATGCATCCCTTGTGTGCAAAGCACGTTTTTTATGCAGATTGAATGCGGGAATAAATAAGGAGATTTATCACTTGCATACTCGATGAATTCTGACAATAAATTACAGGCCAGCACAAAAGCAGTTAACTGCACAGTTCCCACTGAGCGAAATAAGAAAGGCTTGAAAGGCAGCACACAAGCTTATTTTACTTTAGACAGTTTAAGTAAGATAACCTGGGAGGGCAACAATTTTCAATCACTAACGTGAATTAACACACTTTTTTTTATTTTTAAAGATTTTATTTATTTATTTGACGGAGAGAGAGAGAGTGAGAGTGAGAGCAGGAACACAAGCAGGGGGAGTGGGAGAGGGAGAGCAGGCTTCCCACTGAGCAGAGAGCCCGATGCGGGACTTGATCCCAGGACCCTGGGATCATGACCTGAGTGAGCAGAGCAGACGCTTAATGGTTGAGCCACCCAGGTGCCCCAAATTAACACATTTTTAATTCCTAAGGTAGTACCAATTTAATCTAATATACAAATGGCAAATCAGTTTTATCTCCTTTGACAACTCCATTAGAATGACAGTAGGTGTTGAATGCTGCTTAAGACAGATCATCCTGAGACCACCTCTCTCACTCAGCTGGATCTGCCAGGGGCCTAATGAAACCCCTTCTTTTAAATATAGCCAGAACTCTCATCACACAACTACCAAGAGCCTACCACTGGTCAGACTCTATGCTGAAGGCCAGAAATATAAACGAATAAGAATTAGATGAAGCACTACCAGATAATATTGTCTATTTCATAAATTTAATCAATATTCAATATTCCCATTATTTTAATGGGAATAATTTTCTTTTTTAGTTTAAAAAAATCAATTATGATTTCATGTCTGATACTTATCTGAATACATGTAAATATTCCCAAAAAAGACATCATTGCCATCTGAATTTCAGGCATAAAACCATGTACTATAAGCATAAATAGCATATTAATGAACTCAATTCTCTGGACTAACATGCAGAGAATATTTTAGAATACCTTACTTTTTAAAGAATATCAGATGAACCCAATTATATTTTTCTTCACTGAAAATTAAAAGCTAACTTATATTCAGCTTCTATTCAGACTATGCATTAAAATAATATTAAGGGGCGCCTGCGTGGCTCAGTTGGTTAAGCGACTGCCTTCGGCTCAGGTCATGATCCTGGAGTCCCAGGATCGAGTCCCGCATGGGTCTCCCTGCTCGGCGGGAAGCCTGCTTCAACCTCTGACCCTCCCCCCTCTCGTGTTCTCTCTCATTCTCTCTCTCTCTTGCTCTCAAATAAATAAAATGTTTAAAAATATATATATTAAGAATTATTATACTAGGTACCATTTATTAAACACCAGGTACTTTACTGAATGTTTGTATACCACTATCATTATTTCTCACAAATCTTTGCATCCTTGAAGCTGGGTCCTAATGATACAGGCAGCCAGCCATGACCCATCTCATAGCTAAGCTACAACTGGTATATGGGTATCTGACTCTAAATTGTCTCCATTTTTAAACTTGGTAACAATTCTGGCTATACAGAACATGTTCAGGAATTACACAATGAGTTATCATTCAACTTGGATGTAAATAACTTAGAACACAGCCTATAGAGACCAACAACCCATGGAATATGTCGTTTTCATTGCCGAAAACCCAGTTATGGGAGTTAAGGGGACAGTGTATGACCACATATACCAAGGTACTGTAGGGAAAGAGGTCCCTTGCTGCCCCTTCCCAGCTACTGTTCTTGCCTAAGAGCTTCCAGCAGCACAGGCAGCACACCTCTGAGCATTCCCCCAAGTATCTTTGCTGGCTACTTTGCCAATGGGCTTGACCAAAACTGTTTCCACACATATAGTTGTCATTTTTCTCTTTCCGACCTGTAAAGCAGGGAATAAATGAAGACTTGGCATGCCATTTCTGAAAGACCTGCCAAATCCCTATGTGGCTACATTAATATAAAACATCCTCTAGGCATTCAAATGAATTAAAGTTACTAAATTCCTACAGTGTACAAGGCAGTCAATAAATGTTTGCTAATGAAACACTGTAAAATTTTTCCAAGACAGAAACCATGGGATGGTTACTGTGTGAGCAAAGAAACTTAAAGTCTTCCACTTTCATCTAGGCTTTAGAGTAACTCAAATACAGTACCATCACCAAATGGTACTTCTTAATCATACTACATATACTAGAAGCCATACAGCACTCTCCTCTATGTGTGAGAAATAAAGAACAAATGGACAAATGTATTTAAGAATGTAAATAATATATCAACACTACAGATAAGAAGAACAGGTAGGGGACATTTTATGGAATGATGAGTATGAGATACGATTTTTTAAACTCATGACAGGACATCTTAGAGATAGGCCAGGAGAGGAAAGGAAGAGAGAAAGAAAGAGAGGGTGAGGGTAAGGGTGAGAGTGCATGAAAAGAAGGAAAAAAATTATTGTCTTTGAGAGAGAGAGATGGAAAAGCTTCGATGGGTATGAATATATAGAAAGTAAAGCACAATAAAGAGCTACTTAAAAAGGCACGTAAGACTAGAACCACAATGTGATCCTAAGCCACAGGAGAGCAGTGAAAAATGAGAGAGCCCAGTCAATCCAACTTAGTGTCTTTAATTGGTCAGGAATTACTGGAAAGTCTCATACCTATATAAAAAATGTCTGGTGATGCAGTAAACTTCTCTAAGGCACAGTCTCTAAGGCAGACCACCTGAGGAGAGCTATCTAAATTAGACAGAACATTTAAGAAAAAGCAACAACAACAAAAACACCACATTACTAAACACAAACACTATGTGGTGTAAGTAAAATTTTATCTAGCAGAGGATCTATTTAATTCTTAGATTCAAATCATGTTATTTCTAGTACATTTGAAATATTTAAGTTTATATATGTTTAGAGCTCCTCAGTTTTGTTTTCTTTACGGCCTACTCTATTTCTTAGATGATTGTTATTCTACACTACAAAGATCTCCTCAATAAAAGTTAACTTTAAGCTGGTCTCTAAATTATTTCAAATAAAATATTAAGTCCCAATCAATCTAAATCAAATTTGGGAATTATGCTACTGGACCCAGTAATTTCATTCACTATCACTTTCATTCACTATCTTTCCATTTCAAAAACTCTCTAATATATATTTAATAGTATCTTTTTTCAAAAGTCTAAGTGAACCACGATTAAAAAAAAAAAAAACAAATCAGTGTCACTGGCCGGGGTACTGGTGTTGCTCTGTACAGTGGCTTTTCACATGAGTTCTCCAGTGTCACTGACACTGTTTTAAAGCAAAATATTCAGCAGGGCACCTGGGTGGCTCAGTCAGCTGAGCGTCCAACTCTTGATTTCAGCTCAGGTCATGATTGTGAGATCAAGCCCCACATCAGGCTCCACGCTTATGCTTGTTCCTCTCCCTCCCCTGCTTGTGCGTGTGCATGCTCTCTCTCAGATAAACAAATAAAATCTTTTTTAAAAAAATAAATAAAAATAAAGCAGAATTTTTATTCAAGCAATTCTTACCCTGAAAAATTAAGAAGTACAAGTCACAAGCAGAGCAAGCCTGAAAAATTCCAAACTACTACAGTACCCAAACCAATGTCAATTAGTGAAAAGCAAGCATATTTAAAAAATTAAAAAAGCACATCTATGAATTCATGAAAAGCTACTTTCTAGGAAATACCAAAGATTTCCAATTTGAAAAGCATACGTACTCATTTTAAGAGTATAAGGATAATTACTCATTCAATTATAATACAATTAAAACAATGTAAAAATGTAAACTCAGAGTAGGTTAAAGAATCAGCATTCTTAAATTTTAAACCACCTACTCAATTAAGAATCAAAACCTTAAATTCCATACCTTTCCAACTGCTTCTGATGTTTCTCCTCCCTCGCCTGAGCCTTCATCTGCTGCACTTCAATAGTATCAGGCTTTCTTCTTCGCATGTATAGTTCATGGTTTCCCATACATAAAGCCAAAATGCGTTTATTGATTCTCAGACGAGGTGCATAAAAAACAAAATCCTAAACATAAAGTTTCTAAATTTAAAATCTTCCTGAAGGACAGTCTCTCTCACAATAATCTGTACTAAATTGCAATATGCGGTATGAATTCGAATGTCATATTACACAGTTTAGAAATCATAAAATCTCCTAATTCCTAGTAAGTATGCTATATTTGCCCATAACTGTGAAGGTTACCAACAAACAAGTGTTTTTAACTGCTCCTTAGGAATGGTGATTATTTTCAATCACCTCCAATAAAACATCATCCACCTTACAGCTGAATCTCAATGAAAGTAACACTAATATTCACATGTTATAAAAAGATCAAAACCTTGTATTTTTAATAATTCATTATTTTATCAGCAGGAAAGTTAAACTATGGAAAGGGAGTGTTTCTCAGGAGCAAATCAATAAATGAACAATGCCACTATTCAAATGGTATCACAGCAAAGTGACAGAAATTTAAAAAGAGTTAATAGAGAAAACATTTATAAAACAATTTTACTTACAGGTGCCTTTTTGTCGATCGGCTTTATAACAAATTTTTTGTCATTAAATGAAATATTTCTGATTTCACTCCAAGGAAAACCAATTTTTGGTGTTAACCTTAAAAAATGAGAGCATTCCTTTAATTAAAAGCAAAAAACAAAACATATAATGTGTAACATTTTGGGGCCAAATTAGCTGAATGACCAACCTTAAGAGTGCCAGACTTTCAAATGCATTAGCTTACTTATACTATTGACATTATTATCTTTTAAGGGAAAATTTGATCAATTAAGCCACATAAAACAGAATTAACTATCAAAAAATTTCATAATGTGTCATGAGCCTTGAAAACACTATACTTATTTCCTTAAAATTACCTAGAAAACACTAGCAACCTAGAGTGTAGAACTGAGCTTCTTGGGGTGTTGTACGAGCTCTACTTAGATTCAAGCTACTACAACTATTAGTTTAAATATGTTTAAGAAGGGGGGGAAGAAGTCTTCATAAGTTTTCATGTGAATTATGGACATGTTACTAAATATAAAAAAAATTTATTTCCTTTCTCTGTTTAGTTTAAAAATGTATTTGTGAGTAACATTAAAAACACTAATTCTCAATATCTTTAAAAGGGTTAATTTTATGGTATGTGAGTTATATCTCAACAGAAAAAAATTTAGACATTCACATACACAAATGTTTGGATAAATGGTAGAGCTAGATTTCCAACTCTAAGAAATACAAGTTACCCCCATTTTGCCACACTGCACACAAAGATTCAAGGAATCAGACTGCAACAGTAATTTTGTTTCTGCTTTTCGTGTATTTTACTGTTTCAGACTACCCATCAAATGTGTCACTATTATCTAATAGTAAGTGTGCAAAATGATTATGATACTCACGCTGGCCAAAAGGGATCTTTCTAGTCAGTCTTCTGAGAATAGAGTACGAATTTCTACCTATTGAAAGTCCTTTTAATTCTTCAGGAGATTACGAACTGCAGCACAGCAAATAATTTTTCTACATAAAACTTCCTTTACTCAATATCCATGCGTTATACTGCCCTCTAATGGCGATTCAAATGTCAACGTTACCTGCTTAAAAAGGAGGCTGGCTGCTGGACCATAGTATTTTTAAGGTAATGCTGTACTACATTTACATGTTACTTTGAAAATTCTAAATTTCCTCATACAATTCTCACAACAATCTTGTAAGGTAATCTTGGCAGTTGTATGAATTTCAGAGAGTTAATAACTTGACCAGGATCATAAAGGTAATTAGTAGCAGAGCTGGTAAAAGAACCTAAGCTTTTAAAGTTGTACCCTATTTTGATTTTTTAAAAAATCTTTTGGAGGGGCGCCTGGGTGGTTCAGTTGGTTAAGCGACTGCCTTCAGCTCGGGTCATGATCCTGGAGTCCCGGGATCGAGTCCCACATCGGGCTCCCTGCTCAGCGGGGGTTCTGCTTCTCCCTCTGACCCTCTTCCCTCTCGTCTCTCTGTCTCTCATTCTCTCTCTCTCAAATAAATAAAATCTTTTAAAAAACTAAAATAAATTAAAAAATTAAAAAATAAATAAAAAATCTTTTGGAAATATAATAGATTTTAATTATTTTTTTTAAAATGAACCAGTACAGATAAGACCAAAATCCCCTTTGTCTACAATCTCCTGTATCAGTCCCTCCCATTCTGAGCTAACCCCCTCTCTTTCATATTCCCCATCTTTATCTGTAACCGTATCTATAATGGGTACTCTCATGGAAATTAATTCAGTAATTTTTTAAAGAAAGAAAAGGGAAAAAAAAATTGGCCCACAAAAATTAGTCTCAAAGTCTTTTTCGCTTTTCAAAAACTTCAAAATATTCTCTTCTGAATGATACAGCATTTTAACTCGCTTTGTAAATAAATACGTATCAGAGTAAAATAATTAAAACGGTCTCTTTTGGACTTAGTATGTAGTGTTAGAAATGTGTATCTTATTAGATATTTGTAACAATGAAACTAAAATTCTAGAATTTTAGAATAAAGAGAAATGCCTTACAAGAAGGCATTACTGGCATGGACTTAAACGCTTATGTGGTATAGCAAATAAAGAAAATATAAAGCAATTGTAGCTATCATTCCTATAAGTATTATAAGAGTCTGACATACTCTGTATTAATATAAAAATTAATACCTTATCAGTTTCAAAACAAAATTACACTGTTCACTATGCTTAACACAGTGATATTTTACTTTACTGATGTCTGAAAATATTCAAAACAATTCCTATGTCTTTAAAAAGTTACAAAAATATAATAAATCATACATCTATTAATTTCATCGTCTCATTGTTCTTGATTTCTTATATATGTTCGTTTCAATTTCACCTTATATGCCAGGCGTAACATTTAAGGAATCATTCTTCACCTTTTATAAAGGGAACAAGTTTTAATTAATTTACTAGACAGAACTCACAAGAGATCAAATAAAAGTGAATCATCCTGATAAATACAATAAGCAGCAGAAAGCTAAAGCTACAAAATGGAGACATGACATCTAAAAGTCTACGTGGCATTAACTAATCTTTTAAGGAAGGGAAAAAAAAAAAAGCAGTTAGGGTAATCAAGCCAAGAAAGAACTTTTACAAACACAGCATAAGATTAAAGCCATACAGATCACTGGTTAATGACCAGCTCACTATGCAACTAATTTACTCACTTGTCATCATGCTCATAAATATTCAGACCCAAAGCATCAACGCCTAGCCACAATTCGGTTCCCTTTTTATTTTTTATTTCAAAATAGTTGACTCCATACATTTCTAGATCTTGGGCAATCTTCAGGTATTCCATCATAGAATCCTCCCTGTTAAAATAAAGCTTACTGTAATATCCTTAGGTAAAAGTAATACCAAACAAATTACAAAAATACTTTGGATTAAAATTTAGTGCTTTAATTTATTCATGTAAGTCTAATGATCTTTGGGGGATAATCTGATGTACTAGTGTTATGAAATAAAAATACTTTAATTTGATGAAAAACACTAAGAAAATAGCCACCCAAATACCTCAGCATTCCTCTGTGTTCTTCATGCCAGTTCTGTATTCTTTCTTCCCACTGTTCTTTTGTCAGTTTGTGTTGTTCCAAAACACTGTAAGAAAAAAAAAATCTAGGGCGCCTGGGTGGCTCAGTTGGTTAAGCGACTGCCTTCGGCTCAGGTCATGATCCTGGAGTCCCTGGATCGAGTCCCGCATCGGGCTTCCTGCTCGGCAGGGAGTCTGCTTCTCCCTCTGACCCTCCCCCCTCTCATGCTCTCTGTCTCTCATTCTCTCTCTCTCAAATAAATAAATAAAAAATATTAAAAAAAAAAATCTATGAAAAGGTTTCTATGATTCAAACTTAATATTCATTTAAAAGTACAGAATCATTCAATACCTTAACTGTAATGGCTGTCATAAAAACCTATATACATGATAAAATTGCATAGAACTAATATATACATGCACATACACAAATGACTGCATATAAAACAGATGAAATCTGAATCAGGCTGACGGACTGTATCAATATCTTGGTTGTGATACAGTACTAGTTATGCAAGATGTTACCATTAGGGAAGGCTGGGAGAAGGACACACAGAATCCCTCTATTTTATAATTGCATGTGAAGCTATAATTATCTCAAAATAGAAAGTTTCTAGGATCCTGAAATTATTTTAAATAATACATGTTATTAAGACAGTTATATAGTTTATGGGAATTCAATTGTTTCAAACGAATAAGCTACTGGACCAAAAAAAGGAAAATGACTTTCTCATTATTAATAGAAAAAATTAGAGAAGAGAGTGAAAATCAAAATTCTTGGGCCTTAATTTCTTCTTTTACATTATGTATTTACTTTTCTTGGTGGTAAATTTAATTTTCTTATTTCTATAGGCAAATACTTTATATAAAATTATACAAGTGGAAAGTTACACTTTTTACCACCCCATATCCTCCAAGTAATCTTTTATTAGTTTCTCTTTTATCCTTCCAGAGTTCCTTATGCAAATGTAAGCAAACATATTTTCTCTACTACTGATATTTTACACCAAATCAGCAAATTCAACATACACACAATTTACTTGCTCTACACACTACAGATTATTTATTTCTCTTCTCTTTGGGTCATATAATGATAATTATACATTTTTCTTTACTGGTGAATCCTCAGATCCTACTTTACTAATAGCAAAAGCTGTGGCATTAGAATATTATTGCTTATGGGGCACTTGGGTGGCTCAGTCGGTTAAGCATCTGTCTTCGGCTCAAGTCACAATCCCAGGGTCCTGGGATCAAGCCCCATGTCGGGTTCCCAGCTCAGCGGGGAGCCTGCTTCTCCCTCTCCTTCCAGATCGTGTACTCTCTCGTTATCTCTGTGTCTCACAAATAAATAAAATCTTTAAAAAATATATTATTGTTTAGCTGTATAAAATTTTACATGAAACCTAGGAATGTCTTGGCAGTATAAGGGAATCTCAGAACATAATCTTTCCTTGCACAAGTTACTATTTAGAATGGATTCCTTAATGAGGTCTCAGAGACACCATTATGTTATTACTATGCCCTGTTCCTTTCTCGGTGTATCCTCTTTTAAGCTCTTGGCTTTTTTGGGAGAAGAGTTTTGTCTTCCCCCTTAGAGCACTTAAGTTTCCACGTTTTTCTTGCCTTTATACTTTTTCTTGCTGCCTGGCCTGGGCTGCTCACCAAAAGGAATGCAATCAGCCTTAAGGGCATAATGAGTGCAGCCAATTGCTGGTACCATGGTATTAACTAAATCTGAAGGTATGGGTTAAATTGGATGCCACTAAGATATATGTTCTAGCTTTTTATATCCTATATTTCAAACCTCATTTGTTTGCATTTTACATAATGTACTATTAATCTGCATGACTTGTTTGCAGGCATTCAAAAATTCCTACCCTCTCTTTCTTCTGTCCAGAAAAAGGAGTCCTTCGTGCCTAAGGCTAATCTATTCAACTTGGCTTTAAATCTATCTACGCCTTTAAAGGACTTCTCCCCTCACTTTCTCAGGATCTATACTCCAACATTTATGACAGGGGACATATTTATTGTCCCTTGCATACATGTATATATATTATCATATCTACTTCTTTATGTTACAGAGAGCAAAGGACCACATCCATGTTTCTTGCCATTATATGCCCAGTGCCAGTACTTAAAAGGTACTCAAATATTTTCAGAGAAAATAAAGGAATTAAATCAGTTCTTTCCCATCTTTTAAAGAACATGTCTATGAACTCATGGTTCCCCAGTTTGTTTTTTTTCTTTTTCACAATCACAACCAAACTTCTTTCGAGAGCTATCCATATTCACTATCTTTCATTTCCAAACCTCACGTCCACTGCCCCGAGTCCACCACAATCTGGCTGCAATCACCAACACCATACTGAAGCTGCTTTTACTAAGGTCACTACCAATCTCCTTATTGTTAAACCCAACAGACACATTACTTCTCCCTCATACTCAACCTCTTTGTTACTATTTGACGCTGCTGATCAGTTTCTCCTTAAAGCTTCCTTGTACCTTGGCTTCCATGATTAACAGTACTCTGGTATTATTCTTGACTCTCTGGCCATTTTTTCTCAGTTTGCTTTACAGGAAGTCTCTTCCCCTGCGCTTAAAAATTAAGTTCCAACAAGATCTGTCCAGGCCTTTTGCTCATTCTGTATGTACTTTCAGGTCCATCGCTTTCATTCCCTTGGGATAATTATCTATTTGCTGCTTATTCCCAAAACTGTATCTATAGTTCAGACTGCTCTCCAAGATCCAGATCCACACCTACAAGTGAATACTAGCTATCTTCCTTGGTTATGCTGCAGATGTTTCAAACGCAACAGATTCAAAACTGAAATCTTCCTTCTCCAAAACATATCCCTTCTCCCCTTATCTTGGAAAAAGGTATCACCAACTACCCAGATGCCCAAGTCAGAAACCTGGCACATAAAAACTTATGTCTATCTATCTCTTTTCAAAGGAGTAAGCGATATTATCTTGTGGAGCTGATAATCTGTATCACCAGAGAGCTAAAATGTACTGTGGGAGAAAAGATTGCTTATCTGGGTTTTTCTACACAAGAATTTTTTTTTCTATACAAGAATTAAAAGCACCCATCAAAATCATCAAATTGTGTGTAATTTATGATCACCAAATAACTTGATTACTAATTCCCCCCTCAGGTACTTAAGATGGTGAGAAAAAGTGTGCTATACCATACATAGAATAAGTAAACCACTGTGAAGGCATTTCCTCCATTCTAAATACAAAAATTAGCATTCTGATTTTATGAGTAAGCTTAGAGAGCTTCAAATAGTCCTCCAAAGACTACTAACTTGAAGAATATCTATCTGGACCTTCAAAATTAAAGACCAAATCTTGAAGAGCATGCGCTATCTTCCTCCTTTTTAAACAAAGGGTTATAGCACACATGAATTTAAAATAAAGAAATTAAATTAATTGTGCTTAAGTGTGATACCAGTGTTTAAAATATTTTTAAAATCACGTAACTATTAAATGTAAGCCAATTACTTCATCTGGTGCTCAACCAAACAGCAATCTGATCTCCCATTAAAAGAACAACCATTTACGTTATACCTGAGATAAAACATGCCTATTCTTTCATGAACAACTGGGAAATTTTAAGGGTAATTTTGATTATATATAATATTTACCTTATATGCTGATTTAAAACCTAATCTGCTGTACCTTTTACTAAACATAAGTTATTTCTCAATTTTGGTACAGAGCTGTGGAATCACTGTACTGTACAAATGAAATTCGTGTAACATGTGTGCCAATTATATTTTAATAAAAAATAAAACATTAAACCGTAGGGGCGCCTGGGTGGCTCAGTTGGTTAAGCGACTGCCTTCGGCTCAGGTCATGATCCTGGAGTCCCGGGATCGAGTCCCGCATCGGGCTCCCTGCTCGGCAGGGAGTCTGCTTCTCCCTCTGACCCTCCCCCCTCTCATGCTCTCTGTCTCATTCTCTCTCAAATAAATAAATAAAATCTTTAAAAAAAAAAAAAAAAGGGCGCCTGGGTGGCTCAGTCGTTAAGCGTCTGCCTTCGGCTCAGGTCATGATCCCAGGGTCCTGGGATCGAGCCCCGCATCGGGCTCCCTGCTCGGCGGGAAGCCTGCTTCTCCCTCTCCCACTCCCCCTGCTTGTGTCCCCTCTCTCGCTGTGTCTCTCTCTGTCAAATAAACAGATTCTTCAAAAAAAACAAATCTGAGACCAAGAGCTTGGAGTTGGAATAATAATCAAAACTAAACATACAGGCTAGTAAGTATCTCCTATTCCTGATTCTTTGGTGAACAGTATGCATTATTTTACCTTCTAAGAAAACGATTATTGCAACAGCATTACAGTGTCACAGTAATAAACAGTGTAACATTCAATAATCAAACATTAAAGCTACTGTGCTTAATGATACCTTATAAAGCGTATATTAACACAATACAACTTACTACACAAAAATAAACATTAATGCCTACAACCAAAGGAAACTAACAGACATGAAGTAAGTTTCCTTTCTTCATATTTTATGACCTATGAAAAAGAAACTACCATCTGACAGCTTAAATACTATACAGAAGTAGTGCAATAGTGAAATTTTAGGTTAATAATACACAATTTTGCATTTAAACAGAAAATTTTAAAATTCAGGAATTCTGACTAAGAGCAGTAACACCTTCTTTCCAGGTTCTAAAAGAAAGATCTCCATGTACATTCTAGTCCACTACTCTAATTATGAACTGATCTATTTTAAGGTAATATTTGATGCTGTACTTCTTAGATTTCATAAATAATACTACCAACCAACACTTGCACCACACTTTACAGTTAAAACTATACACCATTGGGCGCCTGGGTGGCTCAGTTGGTTAAGCGACTGCCTTCGGCCCAGGTCATGATCCTGGAGTCCCGGGATCGAGTCCCGCATCGGGCTCCCTGCTCGGCAGGGAGTCTGCTCCTCCCTCTGACCCTCCCCCCTCTCCTGCTCTCTCTATCTCATTCTCTCTCAAATGAATAAATAAAATCTTTAAAAAAAAAAACAAACTATACACCATTTAGTTCACGTTCTATAATCATGAACTGTAAGTTAGGCAGAGCAGGATTATTATGCCCATTTTGCATATTCAGGTACAGAGGCTCAAAGATTTCAGGTTATGCACGTAAGGTCACATAAGTAGTAAAGGGTAGAAATGACATTCAAATTCTAGGTCTTCTGCCTAATGATTTCTCCCTATGCCATGCTATTTTAAAATAACTATTATAAAAGCAGCAATATACTGCATATGAGAACAGAGCACTAGACTAGGAGTCTGAAAACTGAGTTTAGAACACCTGTTAGAGGGCGCCTGGCTGGTTCAGTCAGAAGAACATGAGACTCTTGATCTCAGGGCTATGAATTTGAGCCCCATGTTGGGTGCAGAGACTACTTAAATAAACATGATAACAAAACAAAACAATAACCACCTTTTAAAAAGTTAGAAACTGAATTTTAATTCTATAGAGGAAATACAGCATGGCACTTCTTATTCTCAAAGCATTTATGAAGCACCTATCTGCCTGTGTGAAAATTTTTACCAAGCAGTGGCAGTCACATCCTCCCCCAAGCCCTAATTACCACTACCTCCATTTACTGCTTACCCTGTGGGAATGAGGAAAAGAGGCAGAAAGTTTAAGTAATTATAGCATATATAAATCCATGTAGCTACCAGGTCATGACTTTTGAAAGTATATTCTCTCTAGCAACTTAAAAAAATTGTCTTATCTATTTACAAATTTCTTTTTCAAAGAATTTAACATAAAATCATGTTTCACTTACCGCTGGGGTAGGAGTCTATCATTAGCCAGGTAGCCTGGTTTATGAATCTCTTTATTATAATCTCCATACTTGGCTTGGACAGCATAGGAAGCCAAAAGAACTGCAGTTTCTGGCGGACAATATATCTCATCATTCAAGATGGCTTCCTTAACTTGCAAGAAGAAAAGTCTCTGGGTTATTTCTTGAATTAATTCCTCAGAAACATCTTCAGGAAAGAATTTAGCTCTAAATTTGAACTGTAAAGGATTCTCTTTTTTAACATCTTGCTGTGTCACCTGAAACAGTAATTTCAAGCATAATCAACAAAAATCCTAAGTTCACATCAAATTCTTTTTTAGAAGAAAGTAGCATGTGAAACACAAATGAGATTCTAAATCATAAGACTCTAGTGTGTAAGATTCTAAACTTATAAAAAGATATGTAAGGAAAAAGATTCTATGCGCTAACGGATGTAACCTCTAACTCACTGGTCCTGTCTAATAACTAAGTTGAAACTTCCCTTAAGAAGCTTATCCTGTAGATTTTTGAGTCAAAGTATTCAGTTACACCTAATAATATTTATTATGTGTTAAGTTTTCAAACAGGAAAAGTGAACATATCTTTTTTCTAAAATGATGCATTAATGGTAACTTACTGAATTAAAAGATATGACACCTTTAATAACTCAGAGATAACTGTAAAAGGAGGCCTCTGACTGAAATCAGTCAGACCCTGGACTTTTCTAGTACAAATTCATGATCACAATAACTTCAAAGTAATTTAATTATTAGCTGAATTTTATACATACTTTACCTTTTTATTTAGTTTAAGCCATGTAGAATAACCTTTGCTGTCCACATACTGCAGCCCAAAAAACCAGACCTCACGTAAACCAACTGTTTTCACCACCTTAAAAAAAAAAAAAAAAGTTCAATTTCAGTTCAACATTCACAGTGTAAGTAAATGGTACTATATTTCAAAAGAAAAACAAAACTACATAGGTATTATAGGTATATTTCTTTGCTACAGAGATCATACATTTTTTTGCTATAGAGCTCTTTCTTAAATTTAATATATTAATTACAGGACTATTTCTAAAAACTTAAATTCAGGTTTTGTATATATATTTTATAGTGTCATTTCAATCTTGTTTGATCCACTTTTTTTATACCTCTTTTTCTTTCTCATCTCCTGTCATGACCCCAATAGGTAACAAGTCTGGGAAACAGATAAAAAGCTGTCATAATCCCACTTTCCTCCTTCAGTGTACCCCCACAACTACACAACTGGGTAGGCAAGGCAAATAGTATCATTTTGGTGATAAGAGTCTCTGAGGACATTTAAAAGCCATACCCTAGGTTATCCAACTGTTGATTTCACACCCACTTCTACTACCCTTCACTATCAAATATTCTGCTCTTCCCTCACTGAGCAAGAAACCATTCTTGGAACATGCCCAAATTTTACCCTTCTACAGCTCTGTTCATGCCTTTTCTTCTGCCTAGAATGTTTCTTCTGTATTTTTACCACCCGCAGAATAATTTATTCCTCAAGCCCCAGTTCAACTAACATGCTTCTGTGAATGAAGCTATCCTATTATATAGATAAAATTAATCACTTATGGGACACCTGGGTGGCTCAGTCGGTTAAGCGTCTGCCTTCGGCTCGGGTCATGATCTCAGGGTCTTGGGATCGAGTCCCGCATCGGGCTCCCTGCTCACCAGGGAGTCTGTTTCTCCCTCCCCCTCTGTCTCTTCCCCCTGCTCGTGCTCTCTCTCTCAAATAAATAAAACCTTTAAAAAAAAAAAAATTAATCACTTGTTCCTTGATGTTCTATATTAAAACAAAATAAGGGAAGTGAGCCAGGAGAGGTGAGAGTTTAATATTTTAAAAGCTTTACATAAAGATTCAACATTATTATTATTATTATTTTAAAGATTTTATTTATTTGACAGAGAGAGAACGACAATCAGAGAGGGAACACAAGCAGGGGGAGTGGGAGAGGGAGAAGCAGGCTTCCCGCCTAGCAGAGAGCCCGACGCGGGGCTCGATCCCAGGACCCTGAGATCATGACCTGAGCGGAAGGCAGACGCTTAACAACTGAGCCACCCAGGCACCCCTAGTTTTTTTTTTATAATTTTTTTTAAGACTTTATTTATTTTAGAGAGAGAATGAGAGAGCATGCGAGCAGGGTGGGGAGCAGAGGGGGAGGGAAGAGGAGGGGGGGAAAGAATCTCAAGCAGACTCCACACTGAGCATGGAGCCTGATGTGGGGCTCAATCTCACCACCCTAAGATCATGACCTGAGCTGAAACCAAGAGTTGGACGATTAACCGACTGAGCCACCCAGATACCTCCTCAACATTAGTTTTAAAATAATAAATATTCTTGACTTATTTTTTAAAAATATCTAAAAAAACGTATCAGGCATTTGGATTTCAAGATAGCATACCAAAGCCTTTGGAAAGTTTACTTTCCTTCTCTTGAAAAATTTCACTGAAGTTACACACACCAGAAAAATTAAAAATAAAAAAAAAACATTTGGGCGCCTGGGTGGCTCAGATGGTTAAGCGTCTGCCTTCAGCTCAGGTCATGATCTCAGGGTCCTGGGATCGAGTCCCGCATCGGGCTCCCTGCTCCTTGGGAGCCTGCTTCTCCCTCTGCTTCTCTCTCTCTGTCTCTAATGAATAAATAAATAAAATCTTTAAAAAAAAAAAAGCTTTAAAAAAACATTTAGCTGTGCTAGGAAAAGTTACCATCAAAAGAACAAAAATTGAGAAATTTCTGGATGATGTATCATCAGGACTCATACTGATACAAAAGCTGATCAAAGCAAACAAACAAAACTTCAATGCAGACAAAGAAGATCCCAAATAATTTAACTTTGGCAAAAGACAGGTTGTCCCAACAGAAGAGCCACAGAAAACATTCCAGCTCAGAGTGACAGAGTAGGAAATTTTCATAGGTCAAGAGCAACTGAGAGAACTCACTATAAGCCTGCTTTTACATCCTTAGATTTGGGCTCAAGAGAAGTTGTCAGGAAACAGCTGTGACTGTAAGAATTAACTGCTTAGAGAGCACATTACAGATAACAATACTCCTTAATCTAGAACTTCATTTACACTATGAAATGTGTGTATGTGCATCAAATAACTGTCCTATGTACTTAACATGGATTCTCATTTAATTCTCACAACCTTCCAAGGGAAGAGTGCTATCATCATCCTAACTATACAAATGAAAAAAATAAGGGAAAAAGAGTAATTTGTCCCAAGTCAAACAGCTAGAGCTTGGACTCCAATGCAGGAGTGTGGCTCTTAGAGTCCACACTTTTAAACTACTACACAGTACTGCACTACAATAAATGAGGTTTCCTTTCTCCTGGTATCTAAACTACAGCAATTCTACTTAACAAAAAAACAAGTAATTTATTTCTCAGTATACAATACCAAAGAAACCCACTTGCTGATTAGTTTTTGAATACCACAAACATTTCACTCACTATAAATAACATTTCAACTGGTTATGAAGTAAGCACAATGAATGCTAACTCCATTCACATTCTTATTCAAGTAAGACAGATGACATCTTTACTAGAAGAATCAACAGAAGTAGGTCACAATTCACAAGGTAAAATATGTACAAGGTATGTACAATGCATGCAGCTGCTTATGATTTTAAGAATTTGTTCACTCTATTAAAAAACTTTTCATCTTAGGGGTGCCTGGGTGACTCAGTCATTGAGCGTCTGCCTTCGGCTCAGGTCATGATCCCAGGGTCCTGGGATCGAGCCCCGCATCAGGCTCCCTGCTCGGCGGGAAGCCTGCTTCTCCCTCTCCCACTCCCCCTGCTTGTGTTCCCTCTCTTGCTGTCTCTCTCTCTGTCAAATAAATAAAATCTTTAAAAAAAAAAAAAAAAAACTTTTCATCTTACAAAAAGACCTTATCAGGGCTTTCAAGATCATCAATTACCTATTCAGGAAGATTAAGTATACTACTTTGTCAGAAAAAGAAACAACTTCCCAGGAATTTAAAAAAAATTTTTTTTTTAATTTTATTTACTTTTGAGAGAGAGACAATGACAGAGAGAGAGAATGAGAGGGGTGAGGGTCAGAGGGAGAAGCAGACTCCCTGCTGAGCAGGGAGCCCGATGCGAGACTCGATCCCGGGACTCCAGGATCATGACCTGAGCCGAAGGCTGTCACCTAACCAGCTGAGCCACCCAGGTGCCCTAAAATTTTTTATCATATTTTAGATCAGTATGTGATAGTATGACACCTAATAAAACCAAAATATCTACTAGGTAACTTACTGCTATGTGCTAGAAACTGTCTCCTGTTCTCTAAGGTCAAGGAGATCTGACCACAGACTACTACTCTCCTGCCCAAATGTAAAAGTTCATTTAAACATCCTCCCCTGAGTCTCATGCCCCCATCACCTTCCTCCCCCTTATAATCATCAAGTCACCTTCCTAATCACTTGGCCTCAGGGCACCAATCTCTTCCCTCCCCTTCTCAATAAAACACCTCTTACAACATTACTTACTGCATCACCTGGGGAGCTTAAATAAATAAGATATTAATGCTTCCAGCAGTCTGCAAGCATTGCTTTTTTTTTTTTCAAAAGCTCCACAGGTGACTCAAATGTGCACTCACTCAGTGAGAAAAAAAGACAAGACCAGTAGTCCAAATTCCTCAACATGACACCCATGTTAGCTTATAAGGCGATGACACCAAACTGCTGTCAGGTGCCTACAGACAGACTAGGATTCCCTGTGCCTTTGCTCCTGCCATCTCCTCTATCAAGGATCTCTACCCATCCCACTAAGTACAGTATCTTTTCATTCCTTTGAGTCCTCATTACAATGCTTTACTTAGAGGATGTTAAAGAAATACCTGCTGATAATTATTTTTAAAAAGTCCTCTCTCTCCAATCTAGGAATGAGAAAGAATAATAGCTCTACAGCTATTCAAGATAACTGAAAAGGTACCGTGAAAAATTCTAAGGGCCACACTGTTGCAATACCAGTGAAGTTACAGAAAAACGTACAAAGAAGTTGCAATAGCTTCATGTTGTATGTTGTCAGAAGTTGCACACTTCATGTGGTTAAATGATACCTGGTCAAAAAGCTGTTTCCCAGTAGTATTGGGCTGAATGGCAAATTCCAGCTCAGCATCCATGGTGGTTACTCTTACGTTGATCTGCAATAAAAACAGAAGGGAAAATCACTAGGAAAGAAAATATACTTATTATTAAACATGAGGCAATATTTTTATCTGATTTATAAAATAAAGTATAATATGTAGGCAATAAAGAGCTACTCCATAATTGTACCTAAGATTTTCTTTATTAAAGTGATAAAGTTTGATTTTAATCACAGGAAATCTTAAATCTATTTTAAAAAGAAAGAGCTTAAAAATCCTCTTTTAAAAACGTTTACTGAATATTTGGCATACACTAGGCACTAGGCCATGAGCTTTCCATGTTCTCATTTAGCCCCTGGAACAATAGTAGGAAATACGCTCATTTCTATAGAAACTAAGAGAGTTCCCCATTACTTGCCTAACGGAACAGGGATATCAAACAGCAGAGTAGGTATTTCAGGAGAAACATAACTCCAGATTCTTTGAATGGCATTCACTATTCCGTATTTTTCAACACAAAGTTCAGATACTCAGTTTTATCCTACTGCAAAAGTATTCACTTTATAAAAAGCATTCATCGAATGACCTTGTATTTGTTAGACTCATAAATTCTTTTTTCTATAAATACCTTTCTAGAAAGCTGGACATTTCACCAAAAACTTAACATGCCTTAACTAATTTTAACTCCACAGTAGCATCTTCACTTAGAATTCACCATCATGTAGTACAAATCGATCTTTAACTCACACTATTAGAATTCTGAATCTGATTGTTTCTTCTTTATATTTTTTTACTCATTGTTAACAAGCATGCGTCTGTACATGTAGCTTTTATCTGAAATACCTTCTTTAATCAAATAAATCTTATAAATCACAAAACCTTCTGTGATATAATAAGTATGTATTTGGTCTTCATTCTGTTTCCTGGCAGAGAGCCCCTAAAACCTTTGGAATTTCCTGAGTGACAGAAGTGAGTTGAGTCTTTGTTATTCATAATAAGCCCCCTTCAACCATACCTGAGTTTACACTAATGACTCCTAATGACTCATGATGGACCCTGACACCTTCAGGATGGGGGCGCACAGCCAGAAGAACCAACCATGTGCTTAGAGCCATCCTAACCTCCAGAAAGAAGAGAAGCTGGGAAGTGAGTTAATAATCAATGGCCAATAATTTAATCCATTATGCCTACATAATGGAAACTTCATTAAAGCCTAAACAAAGGAGTTCACAGAAAGTTTCCAAGGTGGTGAATGCGTCCACATGCAAAGAGAAAGGCGGACCGCAAACTCTACAAGGACAGAAGCTCCTGTGCTCAGGACCTTTCTGGACCTTGCCCTATGTACCTCCTCTTCATCTTCATCTTTCATTTGTATCCTTATAATATCCTTTATATTAACCAGTAACAATAAGTAAAAGTGTTTTCCTGAGTTCTGTGAGCTGTTACAAGGAATTACACTACTTGAAGAGGGGATCACAGGAATCTCAACGTGTAGCCAAGTTAGAAATGTGGGTAACATGGGGACCCATTACTTGTGATTGGTGTTTGAAGGGGACAGCAGTCTTGAGGGACTGAGCTTTTTTTTTTTTTTTTATTTGAGAGAGAGAGAATGAGAGACAGAGAGCACGAGAGGGAAGAGGGCAGAGGGAGAAGCAGACCCCCTGCCGAGCAGGGAGCCCGATGCGGGACTCGATCCCGGGACTCCAGGATCATGACCTGAGCCGAAGGCAGTCGCTTAACCAACTGAGCCACCCAGGCGCCCAAGGGACTGAGCTCTTAACCTGTAGTGTCTGTGCTACTCCGGATAGCTGGTGTCAGAACGAATTAAACTGCAGAACACACAACTGAGGGCTACACAGAAGTAGAGAATTGCTTGATGTGGAAAACTTACACATCTATTACCAGAAATCTTGAGTCAAGAGAAAGTTTTCCGTTACCCATAAATCTACCATTCAACTTATTAACTAGAAATGGCAAATAATGCTATAGATACCAATGTATTTCTTGTGAATTTCTCTGTCCCAATCCCACAGGTAAGCACTAAGAATAGTTTTACCACAAATGTAGGTCTCTATGTAAAATATTTAGCTTTTCTTGATTTTTAGCTGTATTAAAGTTGTACAGTACTGGCTAAGAAAGTCTTCTTTCTTGATGTGCGCAATGGTTGAGTATATTTATTTTATGAAAATTCATCAACTATACACAATACGTTCTTCTCAGTATGTATGTTCTATTTCAATAAAAAGTTTAAACAAAAATTATACCACATGGTAGTTTGTTTTTTCACCATTTCTAAGCGTCATTGATTTTCCTGTGAGTAGTTGCAATTCATTTATTTTTACTGCTGGGCAATAACTCACCCATCTTCTTGTCAGTGGATATTAAATTGTTTCTAATTTTTTGGCTATCAAGAACAGTACTGTTATGAACATTCTTGTGTGTGTCTTCTAGTGCATATGTATCTGAGTTTATCTAGAAGCATATACACAGACAAACTCCTGGGTGATAAAGTATACAAGCCTTCACCTTTACCATGTCAAAGTGAATTGTGCTCCAATATGACTGTATCCACTTACACTCCATCAACAGTACGTAAGAATTCCCGCTGAGCTGTATTTTCCCCAACAGTGGGTATTATCTGATTTTCTAAACATCTGACAATCCAGTAGGTGTAAAATGACATCTCAGTATGGTCTTACTGTGCAGATCTCTGATTCCTAAAGAGGCTGAGAACATTTTCGTATGTGTACAATGCAGAATTCTAATACAGCCCCCATGATCTCCATCTCCTAGTGTCACACTCATGATTATGTTACATTACACGACAAAAGGGATTTTGCAGATATACTTAAGGTTACTAATCAGTTGACCTCAAAATCGGAGGATTATGTGAGTGGAGCTAAGCTATTCACAGGAGTCCTTTAAAAGCAAAGCGTTTTCTCAGACTGGTTGAAAAAGTCAGAGAAATTCAAAGTGTGACAGGAATTTCACATAAAAGAGGTTCTCCATTACTGAGTTGGAGGGGCCAGGGGGCAAGGACCTGACTCCAGCTTCTAGGAGCTAAGAGTGACCCCTGGCCAATAGCTAGTAAAAAATGGGAACTTCATCCTCCAGTAAAGAAGGATGGATCATTTTTGCAAGAAAATGAATTCTGCCAATAGGAATAAGCTTGAAAGAGAACCCCGAGCTCCAGATGAGAATGCAGCTGGGATAAACCTTGATTTCAGGCTGGTGAGACCCTGAGCAAAGAACCTAGTTACATCATCCCATATTTCTACATACAAAACTGTGAGATGGTATTGCTTTAAGCTACTAGATTTGTGGTAATTTGTTACAGAATAAAAGAAAACTAATATGGTACATTTATTGACCACTCAGTCTCCCCATCTTTGGGAATGTCTGTTAACATCTATTGCGTATTTTTCTATTGGGTTGTCTTTTTCTTTTTACTATGTAGGAGATCTTTATATATTCTAGATACTAATCCCTTGTGTCAGTTATTTATATCACAAAAAAATCTCCCAGTTTGTAGTTTGTCATTCTACATTATGACGTATCCTTCTTCAGGGTAAACATATCTTTTTTTAAGATTTATTTATTTATTTGAGAGCGAGAGAGACACAAGAAGGGGCAGGGGTAGAGGGAGAAGGGGAAGCAGACTCCCCACTGAGGAGGGAGCCTGATGCAGGACTCGATCCCAGGACTCTGGGATCACAACCTGAGCTGAAGGCAGACGCTTAACCAACTGAGCCACCCAGGCACCCTATGGTGAATATATTCTTAATTTTAACGTTGAATTTATCAATGTTTTACATACAAGTATCAATTTTTTTGGCCATATTTAAGAAATCCTTCTCTACTCTGGAGTCATAAAGATGTTCTTAGATTTCATCCTAAAGTTCTGTTTCTCATAATTTGTCTTCGATGATTTTTGCTTATGATTTAAGGTGGAGATCCAATTTCATTTTTTAATCTCTATAGGATAATGATATGGGGATTTAAAATAACTAAGTGATGTATACTGATTAATTTACTTCCCAAAGACTATTATGTCACAGATCAAATGTCTATAAGGTACAGGATCTGAATTTGTGCTCTCTATTCTGTTGCTCTGGTTGACTAACAATTCTTTCAAAACTACACTGTTTTAATTATGACATTTTTAAGTAAGTCTTGCTATATGGTTGGGAACGTCTCCCCTCATTATCTTCAAAACTTGTGAGCTATTCTTAGCTCTTTGTTCTTGTTCCTGCCTTCACACAAAATCTTAAACTTTCAAAATACCCCACTATGATTTAAATTGGACTACACTGAATTCATCAGTACTTTCAGGGAAGAAATAACATCTTTTCAATATTGACTATTCCTATCCATGACTGTGGTTCTCTCTGTGCATTAATTTGTCTTCTTTAGCACTTTCAAAAAAGCGTTTATAATTTTCTCCATAAAAATCATATTAATCAGGGTGCCTGGCTGGCTCAAGGTCTCAAGGACTCTTGGTCTCAAGGTTGTAAGTTCAAGCCCCCTGCTGGGTATAGAGATTACTTAAAAAAAATAATAAAATCTTAATAAAAATCATATTAATCATTTTAGATATCTTTCCCATAAATCACTATGACTTTGTCACTATGATAAATTCAGGTCCACAATCCCCTGACATCCCCAAAGCATCAAAAACAAGTTTAGTAGCTAATTTCAGCAAAACCTTAACATGAAGTAATGTGAGACTATCTGGTGGATTATTTTATCCCATCTCAAATGAATATTTATACATGACCCATAAAAGTACTAATGTTTTTGAGGTGATACACCAGACCTTGAGGGAAGCTTCATGACATAATGACATATGAACATAATGTATTGTATATTCATCTTTCTGAAATCCAAAAAACTCCAAATACTGAAACTCATCTAGCTTAAAGGTTTTCAAACACAGGATTGTGAATTTGATGAAATAGCTTTCTAAAATTGTTTTGCTTTTGTAGAAATGCAAGTGATTTCTATATTGATCATTTTATCCGTTCCCTTGCTGACTGTTATAACGAGCCTATAAATCCTTGTGTTTATTTATATAAATGAGGGGTCAGAAAATTTTTCCTATACAGGACCAAACAGTAAATATTTTAGGTTTTGTAGACTGTACAGTCTGTTGCGACTACTCAGCTATGTTACTATAGCAACAAAGCAGTTATAGATCATAAACAACAAGCATACCACATTCCAATAAAACTAGTCACTGAAATTTGAATTTCATATAACTTTCACAGGTGAAATATTATTTTTGTGTTTTAATCCACTGAAAATGTAAAAATCATTATTAGCATGTAAGCTGTACAAAAACAGGTGGTGAGCTGAATTTGGCCTATAGGCTATAACTTGCCAATCCCTGATATAACAAAGAATCTTAACATCTTCAAATAGTGTTTCTTCCTTTCTAGTCCTTCAGCTTTTTTTTTTTTTTTTTCTGTGCAGGTTTCCCCATTCAATGTTGAATAGCAACAATGATAGCATCTTTTGTCTTGTTCTTGATTTAAAAAAAAAGGTCCCATTGTTAATACATTAAAAAGACCTTTTGCAGTTACGGTTTCTTCTATATCTAGCTTAAGAAGTGTTGGGTTTTTCTTTTTAAATCATGAATAGTTCAATTCTAGGACTCCTCTTTCTGAATTTATCATGATTTATCTCCTTTAAACTAACCATGTGATTGTGGTATAGAGTGTTGCTATTTGACCACCAAATTCTAACAGAATTATAGTTGGGTATATGGCTACTGAGCTACAGAACATTTCTCAAGGTCTCTTGCAATTAGATATGGCTCTATGACTAAGCTCTCACCCAAAGAAAAGGGTGAGAAGAGACATAGGCCACTTCTGGGCCTCGGCATAAAATAACGAGCATGCTTCTCTATGCTTTTTCCTCCCTTGTCCCTGACTGACATGCAGACAAAGCAGTAAATTTATTCCTAAGTATTTTATGCCTTTGATGCTGCTACAAATGGATTTTTTTACTTCATTTTTCAAATGCTGCTACTAGTATATAAGAAAGGCTACTGATTTTTAAAAATACAACCTTATGTCCAACAATTTTGCTAAGTTCAGTTATAGTTCTAGTAGTTGTTTTTTAGATTCCTGAAGATTTTCTACATAAACAATTATACCATCTGCAAAGAGAAAAATTTACTTCTTCCTTTCTGGTGTTTATGCCTTTTATTTCTTCTTCTTCTCCTCTCCCTCCCACAATGCAAAATCACACTTTGTTACCTACCTGCTGAGTCTTTAAAGTAATTCCAAAGAGATATTCATGCCAGAAAACACCAATAGCTATAACCAATGTTTTTTTTAAAAAAGATAACTGGCCCAAAGAAACATTGAAAAAAACATCCCAAAATCGTTGAAGTTTAAAAACATTTATGCCAAGAGAAAAGGAACAAACCTTAGTCAAAAACTACATAATTATAAAGCTAAATAAAATCATAACACTCCCTTAAATTAAAAAAAAAAAGACTATATAATATCAGCATCAGTATCACTAGCATCGAAGCCAGAGTTATGCGAAAATTAATGCACGGATCCTTCCAACCTCTCATTACTTCTTCCTGTAACAAGAAGTTACTATTTACTGAGCAGTGGATGTGTACCAAATTCTTCTAATTCTTACCAAAGTCCCTTAAGTAACTAATTACATCTCCATTTTTTATAGGAGGAAATTAAGAATTGGAGAGCCTGAAGTAACCTATCAAAAGTCACAGAGGGAAAGTAGCAGAGCCAGGATATGAACTAAGACAGTTTGGCTCCAGAACCCATGAATTTTCATCTTCACTGTAATGTTACCTCTACCTCTTCTTCACTGGCTCACAGAGTACTTCGTTGCTACCACATTAATCTAAAACAAGCCATAGCAGTATCAGTGCCTTTTTCTTCCCAATGACTCTACCATAACATTTTGCCTTGTTCCAAAAGGAATTTAATGCTACTGGTATTTTATTAACTAAGTAGTAGTAAAAGTAAAATACACTTACTGGTTTCGGCATTGTCCTTCTCTTTTTGATCACCTTCTTTAAAAATTCTTTTATGAATTCTGATGTCACCTTCAGTTAAAGAAAAAAGAAAGCATAATGGATCTACTACTTTTATATAATGCCTTGATTTTAATATAATTTGTACAGAATAAAAATTAAAACATTTTAAATTGTGAGTTTAACACAGAGCTCTCTAAAAATAAAAAAAATAAAGTAACACAGAACTCTCTTATTCTAATTTTCAATGTCTTTTATTATCATTTCACCTTCTCTGAAAATATTTATAGCTGTGATTTAAAATAGCACACATCTCGGGCACCTGGGTGGCTCAGTCGTTAAGCGTCTGCCTGCGGCTAAGGTCATGATCTCAGGGTCCTGGGATCAAGCCCGGCATCAGGCTCCCTGTACAGTGGGAAGCCTGCTTTTCCCTCTCCCACTCCCCCTGCTTGTGTTCCCTCTCTCACTGTGTCTCTGTCAAATAAATAAATAAAATTTTAAATAAATAAATAAATAAATAAATAAAAATAAATGAAATAAAATAAAATAGCACACATCTCAAACATAATCTAAAGCATACCAATCACCAACTGAAAGTTTGAATTTACTCAGAGACAACACATAGCAAGGAAGCAAGACTGCTAAGGACCCAAATGTTGCCTCTGTCTGCATCCGGTTCACCTCTACACCCAGCCTGCGAGAGGAGAGGGATAGTAAAAGGGAAGATATTTCAAATTATAAAGTGATGAACTCAAGAACACTTTCAACCTTTTTTCTGGACTGACAAAGACAAAAGGAAATTCTGATTAATGTAAACTCTAGAAACTCTAGAAAATTATCTTTTCTTTTTTTAAAAAAAAGATTTTATTATTTATTTGAGAGAGAGAGAGAGAGCATGAGCACGTGGAGGGAGAGGGAGAAGCAGACTCCCCACTGAGCAGGGAGCCCGATGCAGGGCTCGATCCCAAGACCCTGAGATCATGACATGAGCCGAAGGCAGACGCTTAACCGACTGAGCCACCCAGGCGCCCCTTATTTTTTCTTCTTGAAAGTTGAAAAACCTGAGTAAAAATATATTGAGTAGTTTATTTACCTAAGGTGTATTAAACAGCCACAGAGCACACACTAGCAATCTGCATGCTACTCACCAGCAAGCTGGTGGCCTTCACTGAAATTTAGAGTTGTCCTTGAGACCAATGTTAAACTTTATCTTCTCCCTGTAAAGCAAAACAAGTTAATCCTAATCAAAGAAAATCATCATGCTATACTGTCTTAGGGTAAATGTTCTTAAAAACACCTAACAAACCAACCAAAAGATCTAACATTCTTAATCATTATTAGTTGCCTAAAAAAATGACAGTATTATTCCAATTTGAAAACCTTCAGTGAGGTATATTAAATTATTACTTGAAAATCAGCTTCCATTGATAATATCTCTACCAAGAAAATTCATCCATTATACTAGCTTCAACTAAATTAATATACAATTAATTCTGTTTTAAAACTTCAGTGTCGGGCACCTGGGTGGCTCAGTTGGTTAAGCGTCTGCCTTCAGCTCAGGTCATGATCCCAGGGTCCTGGGATAGAGTCCCGCATCGGGCTCCCTGCTCAGCAGGGAGTCTGCTTCTCCCTCTGCCTGCCGCTCCCCCTGCTTGTGCTCTCTCAGTGTCAAATAAATAAATATTTAAAAAAATAAAATAAAAAATAATAAAACTTCAGTGTCAACTGCTTTTTAATATGCTACAATAAACCTGAATATCCTCCAAATTGAAAAAAAATGAAACATCATTTCCCTACACTTTACTCAATCATGTGCCAAATAAACCTCTCTTTAAAAGAAACCTCTACCTGAGATATTTTTTATCTAATAATTGAGCTATGAAATTCATTTCCTTAACTCTTAGCTAGGAAATGTTAACCCTCTCTCCCTAGTCAGTCACCTACTTTCATGAACCTAAAGGTACTTCAGACCTATCTTCTCATTCTATATCCTCTTTTCATTCCACTATTGTCTTAATTCATCCTTATCATCTCAGGTCTTAAAACATCCTCAAAATTGACCTGCTTTTAACATGTGTAAGTTAGTAATTCCCAAATCTGTATCTCTAGAACTTGCTTGGCTAACTTGCCTTGCTCAATGTCTAGATTATCTCAAATGTAACAAAACCAAAACACTTAAATCTCTACCTTATAGCCAAATTTGATTTTCTACAAGTCTTGGTGACCTATTTCTAGAAAGTTATCACAGTGTTCCCTCATGATTTTTTGTATCTACTACGTTGGCAGTTATGATCTTTTCATTCCTAATATTGTTAAATTTTACCTTCCCTTTTGCTTGATTAATCTTGCCAGAAGTTTGCTTAATTTATTGATCTAAAGGCCAGCTTTCAGTTTCGTTGATCTTCTGTTTCTTTGTTTTTGTTTTTTTTTTTTAAGATTTTATTTATTTTTTTTTAGAGAGCGAGCGAGAGAGAAACAGCATGAGAGGGGAGAGGGTCAGAGAGAGAAGCAGGCTCCCCGCTGAGCCGGGAGCCCGATGCAGGACTCGATCCCAGGACCCTGGGATCATGATCTGAGCCAAAGGCAGACGCTTAACCATCTGAGCCACCCAGGCGCCCCTATTGTTCTTTTTTTGTTAATTTCTTTTTCCTCATCACTTTTCGTTAGTTGGCTTTACTCTGTGGCTCATTTTCTAATCCCTAAAATTAAAACTGTATCTAAGTAATTCCCAATTTTTTTCTTTTCTAGTATGTGCATCAAGGTCATAAACTAAGTATGTCCAAGGCAGCTCCATATACAAAGTATCCCCCTATTTTGTCGAGAACATTTTAAAATAACTTTTATCATTTGAATAATCAAGTATGTATTTATAACATCAGTGTATTTAAATATTAAAAAAGATCTATAAAATATTGAAACAATACTTTTGCCTTCATCTCTTATTTCACAGAACATAGAATTTCCTTAAACTCTTCACACAAATGAGACAGATTATACAAGCACTTTTTGAATCAGTATATAATACTATTACTAAAATTTTTATCCCAAACCACACAATCCATTCATATAAAGCACTGGGAATTTCTTTTCCTATTTGTACTGCTGGAGTATATTTTAATATCTACAGTGTAACCACTGTATTGTTTTTTTAAAAACTAGATCTGTTCTAGATATGCCTCTTTTTTAAATGCTTAAACCACTTAGCAAATGAACTCTGTGAGCTTTCCAAACTCACATGTACTCAAGGCATTTCAGGTCAAAGTGCCTGTTTTAAATAGTACTTTCAAGCCCAAGAAAAAGAACAAAGCAACAACAGAGCTCCTAAAAACACAAATATAAATCTCCTTTTCTGGGAAGTATATTTTGAAATGTCTTGTCTTATATTTAAAACCATACCATTTTTCTGAGCAAAAGAAGTCCATGAGAGAAAGACAATTAACATATGATTTCACTCATGTGGAATTTAAGAAACAAAACAGAGGATCATAGGGGAAGGGAGGGACAAAATCAGAGAGGGAGACAAACCATAAGAGATTCTTAACTATAGGAAACAAACTGAGGGTTGCTGGAGAGGAGGTGGGTAGGGGGATGGGTGATGGGCATTAAGAAGGGCACGTGATATAATAATGAGCATTGGGTGTTATATGCAACTGTTGAATCACTGATCTCTACCTCTGAAACTATTAATACACTATGTTAATTAATTGAATTAAAATAAAATAAATAAATAAAATAAAATACCATTTTTCTAAGTATCACTTTAGTGATTTCCCACACAGGTTTTTATATGTAGTTTTTTCATTGGCTCTACAAGTTTCCCTTTCCAGTTTTGATCTCTAATCATGACTAAGAAATTTTTTTTTTAAGATTTTAAGAGAGAACAAAAGTGAGAGAGAGCACAGAGAGAGAGGGAGAAAGAATTTTTTTTTTAATTTTCAAATGGAATGGTTACAGGTCTGGGAGCAAAGCGCTTTTTATTATTTATTTCTAACTTTACTATACCATGGTCAAAGAATTCATTAAGACCTCCTTTATGTTTAGTACATGGTCAGTTTAATTTCATTTCTAACTGTTCTGGCTATAAATGACAATAATGTAGGTTTTGCATTTGATAAGTTAGATCAAGCCAGACCAAGAACTTAATGTTTTGTTTATAGTTTCCCTACTGTTGCTCATTTTAGTCTACTTAAGCACCTTGAGAAAAAAATGTATTAAATTTTCCCAAGTATGATTGTGGATGTTAATTTCTTCTTATAAATTGTCACTTTCCAATTTATATTTTTTTAGGCTATGCATGCTATTAGGTAAAGTATAGGTTTAGTGAATTCTCCAGTGAATACTTCCTTTTTCAATTAGGTAATAATTTAATTGCATTGAGAATTCTAAATTGTTAGTCCCTCAGCATTTGGAGGACATTATTTTTCTGGCATCTGTTACTGCTGATGAGCTATCTACTGTCAATCTAACTCAATTCTCTGAGATAATCTGCCTTTTTTCTCTGCTTTAAGGAATTTTGGGGGGGGTAGTCTTCGGATTTGCTTTTATTTATCTTGTTCAGGACTGGATAAGCTTCCTTATTCTGAAGACGCATGCTTTTCTTAAATTCTGGAAAAACATTAGCCATTGTCTCTCTCATTCTCTCTTTTAATTCAGCAATTCTCATTGGACACAAACTGCATATTTTATTCTCTAGTCCATACCTACTTTTTCATATTTTCCATCTCTTTATCTCTCTGTGCAACATTCCTCTACTTTCTAATGTTTTACCTCTTCAATAGTTCAGCATTTTAATAATCCTATGCTATTTTATAATTTGTTTTAAATCTTCCTTTGATCCCTACGTTTATTTTTTGTCACTGCACAATTTTTCTGTTTTCAGTTCATTATGGTTTCTTTATAGAGTTTGTAATTTTGGACAAAAAGCTCGTGTCCCTAACCCACTACCCATGTAGGAGTCCCATGAGCCCTGAGTTGTGTATATATATCCCTACAGAGGTACTTCAGGTTTGCTCGTACCAGAGTATTAGGAATTAAAAAAAATTTTTTTTTTAATTTTTTTTTAAGATTTTATTTATTCATCTGAGAGAGAGAGAGCACAAGTAGGGGGAGAGGCAGAGGGAGAGGGAGAAGCAGTCTCCCTGCTGAGCCGGGAGCCTGACATGGAGTTCCATCCCAGGACCTGGAGATCATGACCTGAGCTGAAGGCAGACGCTTTATCATCTGAGCCACCCAGGCGCCCCTAAAAAAAAAATTTTTTTTTTTTTAAGAGGCACCTGGCTGGCTCAATCAGTGGAGCTTATGATTCTTGATCTTGGGGTCATGAGTTCAAGCCCCATACGGGGTGCAGAGATTACTTAAATAAATACTTTTTTAAGGAACTTTAATTGTCCTAGGCCAATTTTTACATTATTCCATTACCATATCTGATTTTGTACTGCATTACCATATCTGACCCCAAAGCTACACACTAAAGAAGTTAGAAGACACTCAGGAGAGCTTCCACAGGTACTGATCATGTTATTTATTAAACCCTACAGTTGTTATAACCTTCCTGTGCAATCTCATCAGTAAGGAAGAACAAGGGAAAGAAAGTGAGAATTATATGCCAGACTATATAAACTAAGTTAAAGCACTCAAGTTATAGAAAAAGTAGTTAACAAACACAGGGCCAGCTGGGCGGGTAAATAAATATCAAGTATGTAGGTTTGCAGAAATTTTGAAGTTATATATTAATCTAATACTGGAATGAAATAAAGGTAGGTCTTTTTCCTTTAAAAAATGATTTATCCGGGCGCCTGGGTGGCTCAGTTGGTTAAGCGACTGCCTTCGGCTCAGGTCATGATCCTGGAGTCCCTGGATCGAGTCCCGCATCGGGCTCCCTGCTCGGCAGGGAGCCTGCTTCTCCCTCTGGCCCTCCCCCCTCTCATGTGCTCTCTGTCTCTCTCATTCTCTCTGTCTCAGATAAATAAATAAAATCTTTAAAAAAAAAATAAAAAAAAAAATAAAAAAAAAATAAAAAAAAAAAAATGATTTATCCAAGTTTTCAATGTTAGAGTTACTTCAAGTTGTACTCTATAAAAAGGACGTTTCAAGAAAAAAATTGATGTTAAAGTTTTAGGTTTAGTAAGAGAGCTCTGCAGATATAAAAGAATAAAAATATATCATAGGCCAACACACATAAAACCAGGTTTTTTACACAAGCAAACTAAGCTTTTAAAATTTCCAACAAACCTAACTCAACTATATGAACTGGGGGGGGGGGGGGGGGAGCTAACAAAAGCCTCCATAAATAAGGATATGGTGGACTTCTAAAAATGCATGTTTTCAGACCAGTGTTTCTCTCTCTTAAAGTTCAGGTTAGTCTCCACCTTGTTTTTTGGGTTTTTTTTTTTTTTAAAGATTTTATTTATTTATTTGTCAGAGAGAAAGAGAGCACAACAAGAGGAGCGGCATGCAGAGGGAGAAGCAGGCTCCCCGCTGAGCAAGGAGCCCGACGCAGCGCTCCATCCCAGAACCCTGGGATGACCTGGGCTGAAGGAAGACGCTTAACCAACTGAGACACCCAAATGCCCCATCCACCTTGTTTTATTTCGGTTAATTATAAATTATCTGAGAAAAAGAATAAGGTTCTACCACTTAATTTACCAGCTGAACACAATGTGATTACTCAGCAACAATGCCCTGTACTTAGAGAAGACCCCACAGTTGTGTGCTCTTATACATTAATTCTCTACTAACAAAAATCAAAGGAGACAAGACATGTCACACTATGGCTACTTCATAGGTGAAGAAACAAGGTCAACTGTATGTAAGTTTCTTGTTCTCAGTCGCATGGGTAATCATTGGCCAAACGGTCTTTTGACACCTACCCTAGAGTCCAGAGCTATACCATATACCCACCCATCTGTCTTCCCCTATTTGATATTTAAAAATTGCTAAATAATTTCACTTGTGGAAATTTACCCAAAGAAAATAATAACAAATGTGTACAACGGTAGAGCTACGAAGATTCTAGTTACAGTGTTATTTATAAAAGTATATATAATAGGGGCGCCTGGGTGGCTCAGTAGGTTAAGCAGCTGCCTTCAGCTCAGGTCATGATCCTGGAGTCCAGGGATCGGGTCCCCCATTGGGCTCGCTGCTCAGCGGGAAGTCTGCTTCTCCCTCTCATGCTCTCTCTCTCTCTCATTCTTGCTCTCAAATAAAATCTTTTTATTTTTTTAAAGATTTTATTTATTTATTTGACAGAGAAAGAGAGATCAGAAGTAGGCAGGCAGGTAGGCAGAGGGAGAGGGAGAAGCAGGCTCCCTGCTGAGCACAGAGCCTGATGCGGGGCTGGATCCCAGGACACCAGGATCATGACCTGAGCCAAAGGCAGATGCTTAACAACTGAGCCACCCAGGTGCCCCAAATAAAATCTTTTTTTAAAAAAGTGTATATAATACTGATATTATTTAAATGAACCATGGTACATCTGTAGATTCTGCTAGACCCCAATGCAACCAATTAAAATGTTACAGAAAAATATTAAATGACATGGCAAAATATCCAGAAAAAAAGGCAGGTTATAAAACCATACATACAGTATGATTCACATTTCTTTTTTAAAAGTATAAATGAAGGGTGCCTGGGTGGCTCAGTTGGTTAAGTGACTGCCTTCGGCTCAGGTCATGATCCTGGAGTCCCGGGATCGAGTCCCACATCAGGCTCCCCACTCAGCATGGAGTCTGCTTCTCCCTCTGACCCTCCTCCCTCTCATGCTCTCTCTCATTCTCTCTCTCGCAAGTAAATAAAATCTTAAAAAAAAATTTTTTTTTAAGTATAAATGAAAAGATGAATATGATTATACTCCAAAATATTGAGTCTCTATGAATTAACATGAATCTGTAAATTTCTAAAATGAAAATGTAGAGCTTTTGTAATAAGAAAAACATTTTCTTTAAAATGAAAGAACAAAATTATAGTATGTAAATAAACTGAAGTCAGACCTAGAACTTCACCATAATACTTAACAAAATCTAAGTAGGTGAATCTTTTTTCAAAAAGAGACTTTAAAAATTCTAATTTTTGAGGAAGAAATGACTAAGAAAAATATATTTTATGATGAAAACAGATTAATATATTTTATTTAAAATCCCTACACCCCTAGAACAAAATAAATAGCAAAATAAAAGTAATAGAATAGAAAAATATCCAACAGTCATAACAAAAAGTTACTATGGAAAGTAAAGAAATAATTAAATATATAAAGATATCACTCAGACCCCACTCAGTAAATGGTTAAAAGACAAAGTCTCTACAAACTCTTTTACAAAACAAATGCACAGTCTTGCATTAAAACCATAAATCAAGGGGCGCCTGGGTGGCTCAGTCGGTTAAGCGTCTGCCTTCGGCTCAGGTCATGATCCCAAGGTCCTGGGATTGAGTCCCACATCGGGCTCCCTGCTCCGCGGGAAGCCTGCTTCTCCCTCTCTTCTCCCCCTGCTTGTGCTCCCTCTCTCGCTGTCTCTCTGTCAATTAAATAAATAAAATCTTAAAAAGAAAACCAAGAAAACCCCACAAATCAAAATGGCTTTAAGGTATTACTGATTATATACTCATTAAACCAGCAAAATAATTCCTAATTATACATGCCAGTACTGATGAGGCAGTACTGCTAAACAAGTATATAAATACTGCTGGCAGCACCATAAATCGGCTCAATATTTCTAGAAATAAGTTGTCAATATTAACAAAAGTTCAATTTCTTTCTGAACAGGAAATTCTGCTTTTGGATTATACCCCCAAAGAAATAAAGAAATACAAAAGAAAGTAATCTGTAGCAAGGTATTCTCAGCAGTACTCATTATAAAAGCCAATGATTAAAATTACAATGCTGAAACTATGTGACAACATGGACTACTACAGGTTTTCTGTGTATTATGACAAACTGCGTCAACATTTACATTAATATAAGTGATTATGTAACCACTCGTTTTAACTATGTAAAACGCAGGTATCCTTACAAATGATATCTTAATATACAGAACTGGGCACTTAATACTAATCAGGGTCTTATTTTTGTTAAGTTCCTAATTTTAAAAATCAGATGAGAATTTAAAAAAAAAAAGTGTTCCAGTAAATTGGTCATATCTCAGTTTACGAGCTTATATAATATGACATATATAAGAATCCCACCTTAAATTTTTTTAGGATGCAGCTTTTTTAGCCAATTTAGTTATTACTGCAAAATATTTACATCATAATACTTAATATTAATATAATATTTAACCTCAGTAATACATTTCTAGTCCTTCCATGATTGCATTAGTATGTTTTTTCCTGAAACTAGTAGAATTTGTTAATACCAGGATGGACAATTTAATAAAATGTCACATGAAAAGCTAAGATACCAAGATACCGAGATACATGTCCTGGGTTTCCATCTCTAACTGATTCATCTTGAAATCACTGTCTTTCAGTGTCTTCCTTTCTTCTCTAAAAAAAAAAAAAAAAAAGATAATATATAATCACCTAAACCATTGTGAGATACTTAATAAAAATCAACTCTTCTCCCATCTACCCTCATAATACATAATTACAGAGAAAAAATTTACTCCCTCCTCTCTACTCTTCCTAAGTTTCTTAAAAGTGGTCTTACCCTACCTCTCTGCCATACTGACTCCCCCAGAAGCAATGAAGCACAATCATGGCAGGGACATACATACTCAACAAGTAGTTTTAAGAGATCTGCGAGCATACATATTTCCCATTTCCAGAAGATTAAATGTATGGTTATATACTCTAAATACAATGTTTACAGACAAAGCATTCATATGAAATATTCTCTTCTTTGTCCTTTAACTCTGAGGGTGACCCTAAAACAGCCTCTTCTCTACCTCAAACAATGGAAAAACAGCCTCATGCTAAACACCTTGAGCTCTAGTAAGTCAGTGGCACAACACACTTCCCACCTGTTAGGTGGTAAAAGAGGTGTTAAGTCTAGTCCATCCTGGGCCTACACCGAAGCTTCAATAATTTATACCACACTGCCTAACTTTACTCTTAAGATACCCTTTTCCTCCATGCCTCATTATAATTTTTTTTTCTGTCTTTTGAGACATAGAAGCAATCTCTGAACCAACTGTGGTTTCTCCACAGACCAAAAAGTTACAAAAGAATTCCTTTGCCAATTTACTGGGGGATTAGGAAGCAGTGTAACAAAGAGAAGTATAAACTGAATTAATAAGGTAACTCCGGCAGTCAAACCAAAACAATAACTATAATAAAAAAGTTCTTAATCACTTTTCCCCTGCATGGGCCACTCTGGTGAAGCCTGTGAAGCCCTTCCTAGAAAAGCATTTTTTTTTTTTTAAGATTTTATTTATTTATTTGACAGAGAGATACATACCGAGAGAGGGAACACAGCAGGGGGAGTGGGAGAGGGAAAAGCAGGCTTCCCCGCTAGAAGGGAGCCTGACGCGGGGCTTGATCCCAAGACCCTGGGGCCACCCAGGCGCCCCTAGAAAAGCATTTTAAAATGCACAAAATAAAATACATTAACACTGCATAATTCCAATTATACTGGAATGCAATTATCAAAATATTAAAATCACAAATTTATGACACAGTAATATCTGTGCTTTTTAATTAATCTTTAAATAAAAATATTTACCAGTGGATCTAATGATTAAACTTCTAAGTAATGATGAGTTATTCTGTAACAGTAAACTATGAAAATATCTGCAATTTCTATTGGAAATAGTCTCTGCTACTGCTAATACTACCAGTTGCCCACATTAATAATGAAAGAAAATGTGTAAAAAAAAAAAAAAAAAGATGCAACTTTTTTCCCTCTCCAAGTTCACAGACACAAAGGCTTATAAAACCTCTACTATACACAGAACTATATTGTATTTTTAGCTCAGTGTTAATTCTGCATTTAATAGCAATATTAATGTACCTTTAGCTACATAATGCCACGTCATTCAAGTAAAGCAAAGAGAGCAAAAAATTTTAGCTCCATTTTGCAAATAAAGAAGGCCAAAACCAAGGACAAGGGTAGTAAATGAAGAAAGTACCTGCAGAATACTCACTCTTCAGCCACTTTACCTCTTTTACCTAATCTTCATCATAACTACTCTCTTCCCTCTGCCCAAGATAGGTAGGTATCACAATCCTCATTCTTTTAATAAGGAATTTAAGATTCAGATAAGTGACCTGCCCAAAGTAAAAAATCTAGTTAACAAGTCAGAGGTCCTTGTAAACCCTAGTCCTGGGGCTCTTCTGGCTTTCATATTCTGCTTTTTTTCTGACATCATTCTAGGCAAGCTCATCTCAAACAATTACCAGAGCTTTTCAAGAAGAAGCTAAAGCTACATTCTTCTGTTGTTTTCAGGTCAAAAGACTACCTCTCAAGATGTTGTAAGTACACATTAATACTGGTATAATCACAGGGCGCCTGGGTGGCTCAGTCAGTTAAGCATCCAACTCTTGATCTCAGCTCAGGTCTTGATCTCAGGGTTGTGAGTTCAAGCCCACACCCAGCATGGAGCCGACTTTAAAAAAAAAAAAAAAAAAATACTCGGGGCACCTGGCTGGCTCAGTCGTTAAGCGTCTGCCTTCAGCTCAGGTCATGGTCCCAGGGTCCTGGGATTGAGCCCCACATCGGGCTCCCTGCTCCGCGGCAAGCCTGCTTCTCCCTCTACCACTCCCCCTGCTTGTGTTCCCTCTCTCGCTGTGTCTCTGTCAAATATATAAATAAAATCTTAAAAAAAAAAAAAAATACTGGCATAATCACCTCTGTAAATGGATTTCCTGTAAGGGTGATATACAGTTCCAAATAAGGTATTAAGTAGTTGCTTATGTAGAAAGTGACTTTTGTTCAAGGAAATCAAATATTCAACATTTTTGAGCAATTTTTACATGCAAAGCAAATTTCTAAAACGTAAATATAAAGCAGAATTGCAATATTAAAAACAAAAGTATTATAATGAATTCAGATTCTCTTCTAAAAGAAATCTGGAAATTTATTTATTTTTTATTTTTTTTAAATTTTATTTATTTATTTGACAGAGACACAGCGAGAGAGGGAACACAAGCAGGGGGAGTGGGAGAGGGAGAAGCAGGCCTCCCGCGGAGCAGGGAGCCCGATGCGGGCTCAACCCCAGGACCCTGGAATCACAACGTGAGCGGAAGGCTGGCGCTTAATGACTGGGCCACCCAGGCGCCCCAGAAATCTGGAAATTTAAAGGAAACACCTTATCTATATTGTTCCCAAGGCGGATAGAAAAACAAATAAAACATTACCATTTGCATTGATTAATTTTAAATGCTAAAAGCTAAGAAAGCTAAATCCAGTCCAAGTTCTTCATTTTACACTTACGGAAACACCAAAAACTAATACAGTAAGTGTTTAAAAATGTAAAAACAGATTCATGGAAGTCACCTTAGCAGCAGGAAAGAAGCAAAGTTCCAAAATGACGTGAATCCTGGCATATAATTCTATGCTTTATAGGTTTTGCAACACCAGACATCATAGTAGCTTACTTTCAAAAGAGAATAAAATTTCTTAAATTGGACAAAACTCTCTCATGCAGTTAATAAAGCTATATGGCAGTTCTATCATTAAGCTTCTAATTTTCAAGATATTCAAATCTCCCTTTTAGAAACTGGAATGCTGTCTGGCTCACAGTAGGCCCTCAGAAGTTTGTTGGTGATTTTATTGGTGAATTAAGTTTACATATAATATTCAATTGTCTTTTTCTGCTGATCATTGTCAAGGGCAATATTTTCCTCTCATTTATGTTATAAGATGACCAAACAATATATTAATAAGCAACACACTACAAGAGAGAGCAAACATGAAAGTGGGGGAGAAAAAAACTCCTCCCAACTAGGTCTCCCAAGTTCAGGACTCTATCATCTCTATTCAAGACCCTTATCAAATTAAATTTAAAGGCCAGATAATTTGACCCTTTTAATGGTAACTGTAATTATCATGCTGGTTGCTGATTGGTATATATACACCAACTTTGCTTAATAACCAAACTAAGATTTTATAGTTTCTCTAAGTCTAGAGTCTGCAAATGTCTTAAATATAAGAGAGCCCTGATGATGGCTAACAAAGTTTAATCCATCCCACACACTCAGTAAAAGCCAAACGGTTCCAGATTCAATTAAGCATGGCTGAGATTTCCTGTATTCCCATTCTCCCTTTTATCAAGGGTCCCTCTGCTGCATTCATGTGCCCGCATCATTCCATGCACTAGCCAGGATTTTTGGTTATAAACGACACCTACTCTGTAACTTATTGAAAGGTTATTAGTTAACGTACAGAAATAGGAAAATTAAAAAAATAAAGTAGGAAACAACATTCAGAACTCATATCACAGAAGACTCTGCTTAGAACACTGATGCACTATTAACTCCTGTTCCTATACACAAGAGCATTTAAGCAGTTAACACACTTTATAGTACAGCACATCTATATTCCCATTAAAGTGTGACTTTCTCAATATCTTACTCGCCAATTTGGCACAGAAGTATAAATGTAGGCATGGTATCTTAAAGTCAGCAAACGTTTTCCCTAAAGGGCCAGGTAAAGGGGCGCCTGGGTGGTTCAGTCGGTTAAGCATCTGCCTTCAGCTCAGGTCCTGATCTCAGTCCTGGGATCAAACCTGGCATAGGGCTCCTTGCTCATCAGGGAGACTGCTTCTCCCTCTCCCTCTGCTACTCCCCCTACTAGTGTTCACTCTCTGCTCTCTCAATAAATAAAATCTTTTTTAAAAAAGGGGAGGGGCAGATAAATAAATCTCTTAGGTTTTTCCAAGGCCATATGGTCTCTGCTACAACTACTCTGCTGTTGTAGCACGAAAGCAGCCATAGATAATATGTAAACAAATGTGCTATGATGTGTTCAAATAAAACTTTATTTATAAAACAAAACAAACAGGGACTAGGCTGCATTTGGCTCCTGGGCCAGTTTGTCAACACCTGCCTTCGAAGTATTTTAGCAGGAATCAACGCTTTTCATTTCATAATTTAAATAAATTTAGTACCCAAGAAGATAGAACTCACATATTCATGCTAGATTATGTACGACAGATCAATACTGGATATAACTTTGGGTGGGGGTAAGAAAGAATCCAAGACACTTGGTATATGAATAAGGAAAACAATCTAGTGGAAGGAGAGTCGTAAGAAAGGGCAATTCCATTACCCTTACCAGTGACTAGTTAGGTATGGAATATATCCCAATCCCAGCCTATGAGACGAAGACATCTGCTGGGGGGCTTCTGGAAAGGAGAGTCCTTCCCATTTCTCTGGGTACGGCCGTATGGATGGCATGCTAGTCCTGCTGCAGCCAGACTGTAACAAGAGGAAAAGTCTTACTATGAAGCCAATGTGAAAGACCACAGGGCAGAGAATTGTAAAGAGAAGGAGTCCTTGATGTCATTACTGAGCTATTCTTGAGCCTCTGGACTTTATTATGTAAGATAATAAATTTCCTCTTTATTTAAGCCAGGTTGAGAATTTTCTATTATTGAGGCCAAAGTATCTTATGTGGCAGAAGTCCTTGAAAAAAAGATTGCTCACTTCAGTTTGACTGCAGCCAGTTTTATTTAACTTCAACTTTCCACAAGTAAAAGAAACATTTAAGGCCCTGAAAGCTCACAGAGACTACCTACAACTCAGAAAAAACTATCTGTTCCAATTACTGATACTGAAATTCGTAACTTTATAAATTCTATAATCATGGGGAAAAAAACAAAACAATGTGCTACCTCCTTCTTTCATACTGTACCTAAGACATTCTTTTGACAAGATTTTTTTTCTCTAAATCAGCGGTTGGCAAACTTTTTCTGTAAAGGGCCAGAGAGTAAATACTTTAGGTTTTGCAAAATATATGGCCTGACATTACAGCTCACAAAAGCAGTCATATACAATATGTAACCAAATGGGATTTCTGTGTTCCAATAAAACTTCATTTACAAAATCAGGAAAGCAGGCCACATCTGGCCTGCCAACTAATTTGTTGACCTCTCCTCTAAATGGTTAACAGCAAAGAGAGTATCTTTCTCAAACAAACCAACTTGACTAAAACTCAAAAACAGTTTATTTCAAATGTATATAAATTAGGTAGAAAAGTAACCCAGCATGTCTTGAGCATTCTCATCTACATTAGACTGCTTGATGTTTAAAAAAAAAAAAAAAAAAAGTCATTACCTTATTGTATATATAACCTCTGCAAGATGCAATTTAGAATTCTGTTATAGGGTAACTGATATATATTACAATAGGAAAAAACAATACAAAACATGTATATGCAAATTTATAACATTTACCTATTAAATAAAACTAAGTGTTTTAAATTAGTAAATCTGCAAGGATTTCTATACATACTGGTTATTCAAAGAAAATAATTCTATACAACTCATAACCTGACTGGACCCTTCTTTTCCAGGAAGCTAAAGCTAGAGTTCAGTATTAAATGGAATGAGGAAAGAAGTAAATCATATGGACTGTATTTCCTTTCCAAACAGTTCCCAATACAAAGACACACATTTTTAAAGGACACCACTTTTCACTATCAATCATATGCCATACTCTAGGGAGAAAACAAAAAGTGAACTTCACCTCCAATCATTAAGCAAGAAAATTTGCACAAACACATAAACACACTTTTGAGATTATAGGAAATCACATTGTGTGATTGCATTCAACTGATAAAAATCTGAGAAACATTAATGTTTAACACAGTAATAAACAAACACCCTTTCAATGTCTGTTACAAAATAACCTTATTTTTATAGACTTTAAAATCATAAATATGAGATAAAAAGTGTATGTTTATCCTTGCGTAAGTATTGGCATTTTCCGTACAGAAGGAAAGAAGTGCTAATATTCATTAATTACCTATGAAAAACATGAGTGAGAAAGGGTGGGGGAGGGGGAGTTCTGGGGAGTGAAGAGGACTTTATTTTTCCTTTACGTCTTTCTAGATTTTTAAAGTTTGTCATAAAATGGATTACTTTCATATTCCTTAAAAATGGTTTAAAATTTATGTTCAGTATAAATTAATATTAAGAAATATACCAAGAACTAAAATGAGTAAGAAAGGCAGGATTCTGTGAAAAAAGCTAGAAGCTGAGGAACTCTCTGGTGTCAGACTGGCCACTTCCATCACGGAAGAGGTGAGCTTCACTGGCTGCCAAAAGGGAAGATCCCGAAGAACTTTAGCTATCAGTAAAAACACTATGAGGTTTAAAATAACCTTGTAAGAGGGGGGTCAACAGCAACTCAACCCAGTTCCGCTGAATCCAGTACCCCAAGGGTAGTATCAGGGTAGTTACGAAGTGTCCATTAGCTTTTGGTCTCCTGGAGGGCCCGACTTCCTTGAGTTCCCAGATTCACATCAGTAGCATAAAATTATATTAGCTTTACCCTGTCAGGTATGGTCCACTGGCACACCTCAGTCTTCATAATTTTCATCCGACACATTTTTTAGGCTTTGGTCTTTGGGAAATATTGGTTAAAATTTGCCATTTTTAAATCGCCTAAGTTAAAATTCATTAAGTTAAAAATAGATGAAAAAACAAGACTCCCACCATCATTCCACACTGTAGACTCTAATTAGAAGATATATAAATTATATTAAAAGATTGAGAATGGGGAGCCTGGGTGGCTAAGTCGTTAAGCGTCTGCCTTCGGCTCAGGTCATGATCCCAGGGTCCTGGGATGGAGCCCTACCTCAGGCTCCCTGCTTGGCGGGAAGCCTGCTTCTCTCCCTCTCCCACTCCCCCTGCTTGTGTTCCTTCTCCCTCTGTGTCTCTCTATCAAGTAAATAAATAAATTCTTAAAAAAAAAAAAAGATCGAGAACTGAAATTAAAATAAAAATATATAAAGACTTCAACAACCTGCCAAAGAGAAAAATGAATAACAAAATCCAATTCTGCTCTTGGCAATGGTAAAGCAATCAACAAAAAACAACCCTTCCTCTCCTCCCTGAGACTACTGACAGTGAGAGAAAAGTCTGTCATTTCTTACCACCAGAGGAAAAAGAATAATCAATTTAAGTTCCAGTTAAGTAACGACAATGTCTAAAACAAAGGACAGACTCAACATACTTTACCCACACCAAAATTAATTATATTTTTCCTACAAATATTTCTGAGTCTCTCCTACACACTTGTCCATGTGTAGGGATACAGGAGTGAACAAAACAATGTATAATCCACAAGAGCAAGAATTTAACATTTCTAAATGCCATAATCAAATTTTGCCTCATTTAAATAAAACTGTAAAGAACTCCAATGCATATCTATTATTTCCTTAATAATATATCAACTGCTCATTAAATTCCATCCGACATAAAAAAAAGTGATTAAGCAAAGAAACAAAGTCATACAATCCTTTTTACAGCATTACTATTAACTTCAAAGGTAGTGCTCTACCTTTTGTCATTTGTCACATTTTTGTCATATTAGTCTCTGAAAGATAAAACACACTGCTGAAAGCAATGGAGTTCTGAAAATTTAAAAAAAAAAAAGTGCAATCCTGAGTATTAATCTCTTCTCAAATCTAATAATGCTGTTTTGGCAAATGGATTAGGCCACTACTTATGTACCAGCCAAATGAACGGGGCAATTGTTCATTCAGAGCTCCGCCTGAAATATAAAAGAGTATTTAGTGCTCTAAAAAATGTACGCTCCGTAAACAATAGATTGCAATGTGGACGTCCGAGCACTGCTTTATCAAATAGACTTTTACGTCTGCATCATGCCAGCCTCAGTGCCACAGGACGGATTCAAACGTCCTCTACACATTCTCAACTCTATTTTTAAATTTATCTCTGGTGAAACGACTTCGCTTTTCCAATCTCGTTACCACCACCACTCCGGGGCGGGGGATAACCAAATACTGGGACCGGTTAAAGGATGCTGCCATACCTGCAAGGGAAGTGATGCGCTTTACTGAAACTGAAATAACGAGCGCCCCTCGTTCGGAGTTAGCCCGGAAATGAAGTTGAGAAGCCTTCCCGGGAAGGGGGGACGGTGCGGGTCCTCGACTGACGCGGTGGGCTCTCAGACACCAAGCCGGGCCGCCCGCAGGGCCGGACGAAGTGCCGGGCTCCGAGGCCGCCCGCAGCCGCAGCCGCAGCCGCAGCAGGTAGAGCGGGCCGGCGGGAGCGGCGGGCGGCGGGAGCGGCGGGCGCCGGGAGCGGCTCCGCGCCCCAAACCCGTTAATGCAACAGCCTTTTTGCCACCAGGGTGAACGCACGCTCTCTAGTAATTCAACACCCTTACTTTCAAACTGGAAGCCGGGGGGGGGGTTCTAATAACCCCCCCTCCCCTACTCTGCAAAATGTAATTCTACCCGCGCTGACTGGGTTTTCAGCGCACCCGAAGGGACGGGCCGGGCCGCGCCGGGGCCGCTCCCCCGGGGCCGGGGGGTCCAGGGCCCAGCCCGAGGGCGGCCGCGCGCCCGAGCCGAGCAGAAACGCGCGGCGGCGGCTTCGCGCCGCGCCCCGACGCCCTCGCCGGCTCCGGGGACGGCCTGGCCCGCCGGGCCGCGGGGCGCGCACAGAGAGGCGCGCGAGGCCCTCGCGGCGCGGCCGCCGGGCCGCGCGGGCCCCCGCAACTTCTCGCCGCCACCTCGGCGTCTCCGGCGCCGCCTGGGAGAGGGGCTGGGGGAAGGGAGGGCGCCGGCGGCTTACCCTGAGAGCGGGCGGCTCCTTCCCGCCCCAAGCGCGGCCGGGGCGCTGCGCGGGGCGCCGGGCGTCGCGGCCGCGGCAGGGAGGGAGAGGCGGCGCTGGGAAGCGCCGGGCCGCCGGAGACGAGACGCGCCGCCACCACCGCAGACAGCTCCGCAATATGGCCGCCCGGCGGCTCCTCGGGGGAAAGGCGGGGCTGCCCCGCGCCCCCCGCCTCCCCCTGCCGGCCGGCCGGCCTCGCGCCGCGGCCTGAGCGCCAACGCCGCCGCCGCCGCCGCCGCCGCCGCCAGGGCCGCCCGCGCCCCGCCCCCCGCGCTCGCGCCCCGCCCCCGCGCCCCGCCCCCCGCCCCCCGCGCTCGCGGCGTCGCCGGGGGTCGCGGCGCGGGGTGGGGCCGCGCGAGGGTCGGTCTGCGCCCGCGAGCCCCGCGGGAAGCCCTCCCTTCCTGGCGGGGCTGGGCTGGAGGGATGCGGGCTGTTAGGGCGGCGGGGCTGCCGCGCCCGAAGCTCGCAGTGCGCCCGCCGCCCCCCCGCCCCACCACGAGGGGAAACTCGAAACTCCCGCTGGTGCCAGAAAACGCGCCCAGGGCGTTTCCGTCGCCCCCGAGGAGGGACTCCTCTTCCCGGAGGGGATCCGGAACCGAGTCGGGCGCTGTTACTTGGCTGCTCGGCTGGAGAATCCTGGACCAGGACACAGAAACGGGCCTATCTTAGAGGAATTTAGATTTGCCACAGAGGACGTTTAAATGATTGTGGCAGTTTTTACCCAGCTAGGAAAACTTGCTTTTCCGGATAGCTCCACCAAAACCTCGATGGTTATGTCCCCAGTCGCAAGTGCAGATTTTTGTTCTGTAGGCAAAGATAGCTGATAATTTTTTATAACCACCGACATTTTTTGGGCAGTTGGAAGGAGTTAATCAAGAAGAAAAAGTTGGAAGCGGGGCCCCAAAGAGCAGCCAAACCTAAATTATCCTAGACTTAGAGGTTAGACAGTTGGTCCTAGCCTAACTCCAGGCCGCTCTCTTTAGTCAGCGGCTGGGACTAGACAGACCTCTTCCTAGTCCGTGTCCTGGCATCCACGCCACGCTCCCATCCTCCCTCCTCGGTGACTTCTGCTGGGATTCAAAGAGCAACACGTGCTATGAGTATATATGAACCGTAGTGCACAAAACCAGATCAGTCCAGCTCGCCCCGTTTGCAATCTTTGTGTAGTTTACCTTTTATGAACAAACTTGAGATTCGAATAACAAAATCTCAGGAGTGTACTTAACTTTTAGAGAACAGATAATTCATATCCTTCCTGCCTTAGCATTTGTCTTCCCTGAGACAGTAGCTTTTCCAGGAACTGTCTCCCCAGATCATTTTCGCCAAGCTCTGAGCTTCAGTGAGTTTCCCCCATTGCCCTCTGCGGCCTCTCTGAACAATTAAAAGCCCCAAGAGTCAAACTCAAAGGTCTTTAGATGGCAAATTCCTCAAGGATGAGAATCAGGTGTGTCCTTTTTCTTAACTAAAAGATTATTCCCTGACTTCATCCCCAGGGTGCAAGGATTATCCAGGTAATTGTTCAGCCTTCCACATCAAGTTGCATGCATAAGATAGTCAAAGTATTACGTAAATTCCTGGATAGTACACTAATCAAGCAAAAGCATGTAATGTACATACTTAGCAAAAGTTGCTACACTTTTACATACTTTTGCAATGAAAACAAAGGATTCGCTATTGTTCGTCATGTGCCAGGGCACTAGGGTACCAGGCTTTTTACATGAGCATCTCTTTTGATAATTACAACACCCTGTGTTTGGGGTCAATATTAACATTGACTCTTTTTTTTTTAATCAGTGAATAAAGAGCCTCAAAGGAGTTAAGTAATTTGTAACACAGCCAGGAAGTGGCAGAGCAATGACCAAACCTAGTTATATTTGACTTGAGAGCCCAGATTTTATCCTATACTCTGCAACAGCAAACAGACCAGAAAATGTAACATTTCAGTTGGCTATCATATTAGTAAATATTTAAGTAAAAGATAACATTCAAGGCTGGTGAGATAAAAAGGGTACTCTCAGACATTGTGAGTGGGAGTGTAAACTGAAACAACCTGTTTAGAAAGCAATTTGGCACAGTGATTCAACCTATAAAAATGTTCATCCTCTTGTAACCCATAATCCCATATCTGAGATTCTTTCTGAATGAAATCATCTGAAATAGAGCAAAAGCTTTATTCATAAACTGTAGATCACAATATTATTTATAAGATGCAAAAATTAAACATGGAAACAAAATATCTTAAGAGTAGCCATATATGCTCTGTAACATTTTGGGTTAACAACTTTAAATGTTTATGGAATGTGTATAACATCATGACATATTTTTTTGTAGTATTAGAGGGAGGGAACAAGTTATGAAACTATCCATGCAGTATGATCACATGTATGTTTGAAAGAAACTAACAACAAAGAGGTGCCTGGGTGGCTCACTCAGTTGGGTGTCCAACTCTTGCTTTCTGCTTGGGTCATGATCTCTAGGTTGTTAGGCTCTGCACTCAGTGGGGAGTCTGCTTGAGACTCTGTCTCTCCCTCTGTCCCCCCACCCCCACCCCGTGCCCACACACACACTCTCTCTCTCTCAAAAAAAAAAAAAAAAAAAGTACGAGGTGTTAGAAAAACCGAGAAAGATTGAAACCCAGGGTTGGCTGGGTGGTCTTCTATGGGCAATTTTTTTCTTTATTCTATTCTTCAGTTTTTTCTGTCTTTTACAGTGTAAAAAAAATTATTTAAGTTTAGTTTTACTACAATGTGGATCATCAATTACACAAAAGCCCAAAGCCACTGTTTCCTAAGTGTGAGGCTATTCTGTGAAAAATTGTGATGAACTGAGCTGGCAGAACTTTATAGTTAGGGGTCAGGTATCTTCATTGTAAATGTCATCTACACACAGCATTGTTTGGTTTTGTTCCTTACGTCAAATACATGCATCTTTAATGTAATATAAGTGATTTAATTGAAAATTTTCTTCTCTGTTTTATTCCAACATTTCAGATTTCACGGGGAAAAGTTCACACATTTGCTGAAACTACATTTTTTCAGAAAAACAATCTGATGATATTATTAGTAGTTACAAAAAAATTTATATAGCACCTACCTAATATGCATAAAAAAGAAAGACCGGGGCGCCTGCGTGGTGCGTCCAACTCTTGGTTTCAGCTCAGGTCATGATCTCAGGGTCGTGAGAGCCTCTCTCTCTCTCTCTCAAATAAATAAATAAATCTTAAAAAAAAAAAAGACCAAAATCAATCTATTACAATCTATTACTAACTCTTCTATGCTAGAATCCGATGGTACTCCATGATAACATATTGACTAATTCTGGATTCTGGAATTCCTATGATAGTTACAAAGCATTTGTCTCACTAGCACATATAAAATTCCTTCTTGAATAAAACTCCTTTTTGCAAGTGTGGTTTGTAAATGGAAGGTTTTCCATCTAAACATTCAGTTCCAGGCCCCTTGCTAGTTTGAGTAAGACTAGGCTCCTGCCCTCTGGATTCAGTTATGAGAAAGGCAAACAAACAGTTGTGAAATTTGAGCTGTAATAAAGATAGACACATAGTGTCAAGTGAGACAGAAAAGAAGGGCTGTTAACTTTGCCTAGAGAAGAGAAAGCCCCTGGGTGGGGGTGGGGGGGGGTGGGGGGTGGGGGGGGTGTAGAAGGGTGAGTAGAGGGTTCCCTAAGAGGGGAAAAGGGGAAAGGCAATCAACTTTGAAGACTGAGTAGCAAGATAGGGTTGATGTTGAGATAAGGATGTTTATAACCAGAAAGGTAAGTTGAGATCTGTTTGGGAAGATCAGAATTTGCCCTTCATCCTTAAGGAAGTAGGAATCCATACAAGGTAATAAGAAGGGGAATAATGTGATCCCCTTGTGTTAGTAAAGTAACTGGCAGCCACGTGGATTACTTGAGAGAGTGGTTCCGTGACACAGTAATCGGTATGATCACCAGGGACAACTCAAGACAGTTTTGCTGTAGAAGTCCAGGTCCGAGAGGATGAAGGATTGACCCTGGGAGGTTTTGAAGATGAAGAAGAGGAAATAGAATCTTCTAAAATTTTTGGAGATCGGCTTCAAGGAGTAAGAGAAGGGGAGAAGTGAAAATGATTTCAGGTTTCCAATGGGTACCATTAAGATAAATAGGGAGTATAAAAGAAGTAAAAGGGAGAGGTCAAGATAATTAGGCAAGTTACAGAGATGCTGATTTGAGGTGTCTATGGGTAATCTAGGAACAAGTGTATATTCAGTAACTGGAAATAAGAACTATGGCGAATGAGATATCCAATAAATTCTCATTGAATAAATGAACATCAGTAACATACTTAAAACGGGCCTTTTATTTCCAACTGTGTCTTTGGAAAATATAGTTCTGCTCAACTCAAGGATTTGAATATTAAAGATTATATATTAAATTAATCTAAAGCATCATTATATACTAAAGTGTTTTTCCATGAAAAAATTTTATTCACTATTTTTAAAAAGCTATGAAGATGTAAAATCACAACTATTTTAAAGACCTATACACAGAAATGCAAAAGAGAATTTTCTGTTATGAACTGGGATATTTCATTCCCGATTCCCACTATCTTGCCTACTTAAGTACATATTCACAGTGTGCTCACCAATATAATGGCCCTCAGTAAAAACAAAGTAAATAAAACTACCTTATCATCTGCTTTGTATGCCTAGTAGGCCATACAAATTTAATTGCTGATATAAGCTATAAAATTTCAGTACAGTCAACAGAGGTTTGATGGGTAACATAGCTAAAGGAAGACTCAAGAAACCGCAGGTCTGCTCCAGCCTTTATTCTCTCCCTATCAAAGATCAAATTACATAAGTACATAATTCATAATGTGTTTGCAGATATGAGCATATTAATCTTCAACGAAGACAAGGTAAAAGTTATTACTTAATCCTCTCTGCTTCTATAATAAAAAGCCAATTTAGTTTGTGATAAAAGGCAATAGAATTTCAGAGGTAAGCAACAGAGTGGAAAGAGTCTAAATGAGGGAGTCCATAACCTTGGCTTCATTCCCAATTCCTACAAACAAGTTGCTAAGCGACCTTGGAAGATCCGATAGACTGTTTGGTAACTTACT